ACAGCCTGGGTGACAGAGCAAAACCTTGTCTCTTAAAAAAAAAAAGTATAGGGGGCCGGGCGCAGTGGCTCACGCCTATAATCCCAGCACTTTGGGAGGCCGAGGAGGGTGGATCACAAGGTCAAGCGATCGAGACCATCCTGGTCAACATGGTGAAACCCTGTCTCTACTAAAAATATAAAAATTAGCTGGGTATGGTGGCGTGTGACTGTAATCCCAGCTACTCGGGAGGCTGAGGCAGGAGAATTGCTTGAACCGAGGCGGCGGAGGTTGCGGTGAGCCAAGATCGCGCCATTGCACTCCAGCCTGGGTAACAAGAGCGAAACTCCATCTTAAAAAAAAAAAAGAGCCGGGCGCGGTGGCTCAAGCCTGTAATCCCAGCACTTTGGGAGGCCGAGGCGGGTGGATCACGAGGTCGAGAGATTGAGACCATCCTGGTCAACATGGTGAAACCCCGTCTCTACTAAAAGTGCAAAAAATTAGCTGGGCATGGTGGCGCGTGCCTGTAATCCCAGCTACTCAGGAGGCTGAGGCAGGAGAATTGCCTGAGCCCAGGAGGCGGAGGTTGCGGTGAGCCGAGATCGCGCCATTGCACTCCAGCCTGGGTAACAAGGGCGAAACTCCGTCTCAAAAAAAAAAAAAAAAAAAGAAAAGAAAAGAAAAGTATACTATCATACACAATTACTAACATATACTATTCGTATCAATAATTGATATCATTTTAATATGTAATTAACTTGCAGACACTGAGCTTTTCTTTTTAAAAAACAAAAAAACAAAAAACACCTTTTTTTTTTGAGAGTCTCACTCTGCTGCCCAGGCTAGAGTGTAAGTCTTTCCCTATGTCATCACGTACTGTATTTTTTTTTTTTTTGAGACAGAGTTTTGCTCTTATTGCACAGGCTGGAGTGCAATGGCATGATCTCAGCTCACCGAAGCCTCTGCCTCCCAGGTTTAAGTGATTTTCCTGCCTCAGCCTCCTGAGTAGCTGGGATTATAGGCATGTGCCACCACACCTGGCTATTGTATTTTTAGGAGAGACAGGGTTTCTCCATGTTGGTCAGGCTGGTCTAGAATTCCAAACCTCTAGTGATCTGCCCACCTCGGCCTCCCAAAGTGCTGGGATTACAGGCATGAGCCACCACACCAGGCCATTATGTACTGTATTGTACAATAGTCATTAAGTCAGATTATGAGTCAATCTAGGGGCACAACTCTTTTTTAAAATCAAGAGGGGTCTTGCTAGTGTTGCCCAGGCTAGGTCTCAACTTCCTGGGCTCTAGCGATCAATCCACATAAGCCTCCCAAAGTGCTGGGATTAATGCATGAACCATGGTGCCCAGCCTAGGAGCACAATATTAGGATTTATTAATACCTTATGAAAGGAAAATAAATCTCAGAACCACAAAATTGCCAAGTCAAAGGGAATTTCAAGCTGAGCACTGTGTCAGGTAAACCTGCCTCCCATTTTATTCCTAAATAAGATAGCTACAAATATTAAAAAAAAAAAAAAAAGCTATATACCTTCCTCACAATTAACCCACAAGGAAATTCCTAGTGGGCCTCAAGATTTTTTCTTTTTTTTTTTTTTTCCTGAGACAGTCTTGCCTTGTTGCCCAGGCTGGAGTACAATGGCGTGATCTCGGCTCACTGCAACCTTCACCTCCCAAGTTCAAGCGATTCACCTGCCTCAGCCTCCGAAGTAGCTGGAATTATAGGTGCATGACACCACACCTGGCTAATTTTTGTATTTTTAGTAGAAACAGGTTTTACCATTTAGGCCAGGCTGGTCTCAAACTCCTGACCTTGTGATCTGCCTGCCTCCTCCCAAGGTGCTGGGACTATAGGCATGAGTCACCTCATCCAGCCTGCTTCTCATATTTCTTTGTGCTATCTCCTTTTGACTCAGTACTTTAACAAAGTACTAAGATTCTTTCTTCTCACTTGCAAGAGAAGATCTCCAATTACTTTATTTGGCCAACTTACAAACCTCAAATCAGAGTCAGCTCTGAACTCCTGATTAAAGCATCATATTGAGGTGATTATGTAAATGGTAATGTACAAGGAGAAATTCTAGGAGATACCATGGTAAAGAGATTTCTCATTGAATAAGTGGTTTCATTTCATTTTTGGAAAAGGATTTAAGGCTTTAGATGAAAAGAATTTTACTTCCTGCAGACATTCATTCATTAAGTTTTTAAGAATTACTTAATGTGATTTTATTTCATGAGTAGAACATAACATCCTATACAGACACAAATACATGTAAAATAGACACAATTCTCTAGCAGATGTCACTTCTGCTAAAGAGACTAGACAGGAAAACATTGTGCAGTTAAATAACACTATAGCCAGGCACAGTGGCTCCCACCTGTAATCGTAGCACTTTGGGAGGCTGAGTCGGGCAGATCATTTGAGGTCCGGAGTTTGAGACTAGCCTAACCAACATTGAGAAACCCTGTCACTACTAAAAATACAAAAATTAGCCAGTTGTTGTGGTGCATGCCTGTAGTTCCAGCTACTCAGGAGGCTGAGGCAGGAGACTCACTTGAACCCAGCAGGTGGAGGTTGCGGTGAGCTGAGATAGCACCACTGAACTCCAGCCTGGGCCACAATAGTGAAACTGTCTCCAAGAACAAGAACAAACAAAAAACAAACAGGCTGGGTGTGGTGGCTCACACCTGTAATCGGAGCATTTTGGGAGACTGAGGCAGGCGGGATCACTTGAGGTCAAGAGTTTGAGACCAGCCTGACCAACATGGAGAAACCCCATCTCTACTAAAAATACAAAAAATTAGCTGGGTATGGTGGCACATGCCTATAATCCCAGCTACACGGGAAGCTGAGGCAGGAGATTTGCTTGAACCGGGAGGCAGAGGTTATCGTGAGCTGAGATCACACCATTGCATTCCAGCCTGGGCAACAAGAGTGAAACTCTGTCTCAGAACACACACACACACAGAGCACTATAAACAGACATGGTGTTTCTCTCTCATCCACCCACCCATGCCCCTCTCCCAATCAAGTAATTTTGGCCTCTCTTGTCTCCCTGACCACATTGGATTATAGCTATAACTATAATCAACCACGCTTTTTTTTTTTTTTTTGAGACAGGGTCTTGCTTAGCAGCCCAGGCTGGAGTGCAATGGCAGGATCATAGCAGGTGTGAACCACTGCACTTGGCCAATTATGCTCTTGAATTCACCCTAGGCCAAGCATGGTAGCTCATGCCTGTAATCCCAGCACCTTGGGTGGCCGAGGTGGGCGGATCACCTGAGGTCAGGAGTTTGCAAGCCTGGCCAACATGGGGAAGCCCTGTCTTTACTAAAAATACAAAAACTACCCGGGTATGGTGGCACGCACCTGTAATTCCAGCTACTGGAGGGAGGCTGAGGCATGAGAATCGCTTGAGCCAAGGAGGCGTAGTCTGCAGTGAGCCGAGATGGAGCCACTGCACTCTAGTCTGAGCAACAGAGTGAGACTCCCTCCAAAAAAAAAAAAAAAAAAAATTCACCCTGGATTCCTCTGTCCTGTGACTTTCTGTTATTGAACCCAGGACTTTCTGTCCTCTTGATCCCAGGTTGCTACTTATTTAATGTTCCAGAATCTTTTTTTAAATTAAAATTTACTTTTATTTTTAGAGACTGGGTCTCACCATGTTGGTCAGACTGGTCTCGAACTCCTGACCTCAGGTAATCCACCCGCCTCGGTCTCCCAAAGTGCTGGGATTACAGGCTTGAGCCACCTCACGCAGCCTCTACTGTTCCATGATCTTGAGCAGGTTGCAATTTAATGATTAGAAACAATGTGCATATAGGGCCTGGGAAGTGAGGAAATTTTACTCCTGTTGGAAGCAGACTTGTGAAAGAACTGGGATATTTAATCCCAGTCCCTGAGACCGCAAAACCCCTATATAAGCAAATTACACTAAGCCAATAAGACAGTCTAAATTCATACCCCGGGGTAATTTTAAGAAATAAAATAGGAGAGGCTTATTGAGATAAATCTGTGCTAATAATCAATTTGGCCAGAAAGAACAGCGAGGAATACTTGCAAATAGTGACAATTACAGTGTCATTCTGAGGACTTCATTTCAAGGCACGGCTTGAAAGGGAGTAACGTCTATGGGCACTAGCCGGCATTTCAAATTCCAGATGCCTGAGGCAGACAGAGACCGAGATAGCTCCGCGTTTCTGTCAAAGTAAACGTATCATTCATGAAGAGTTAACAAAATGGCCGGGTGCGGTGGCTCAAGCCTGTAATCCCAGCACTTTGGGAGACCGAGGCGGGTGGATCACGAGGTGAAGAGATCGAGACCATCCTGGTCAACATGGTGAAACCCCGTCTCTAGTAAAAATACTAAAAATTAGCTGGGCATGGTGGCGCGTGCCTGTAATCCCAGCTACTCAGGAGGCTGAGGCAGGAGAATTGCCTGAACCCAGGAGGCGGAGGTTGCGGTGAGCCGAGATCGCGCCACTGCACTCCAGCCTGGGTGACAAGAGCGAAACTCCGTCTCAAAAAAAAAAAAAAAAAAAAAAAATCTCTGGCGGCGTGGGCGCGGTGGCTCACGCCTGAAATGCCAGCACTTTGGGAGGCCGAGGTGGAAGGATCCCTTGGGGTCAGGAGTCCGAAACCAGCCTGCGCAACATGGAAAAACCGGGTTTTTACAAAAAAATTAGCTGAGTGTGGTGGTACAGGCGTTTAGTCCAAGCTGCTTGGGAGGCTGAGGTGGGAGGATCAGTTGAACTTGGGAGTTAAAGGTTGCAGTGGACCGTCATCGCGCCACTGCACTCCAGCCTGGAAAACAGCGACGTTCCCTCACCAAAAACAAAACAAAACAAAACAAAAACGCAATGGCTCCGTTCGGGCCCTAGATCTCGCGATACAAACTTTCCCGGCCCACCCCCGCCAGAATGTGGCGGGAACATTCTGGAAGTGACGGCACGGTTTGCGGCAGTCTTCTGTCGGAAGTGACGTCGCTATCCCAGAATCCTTAGAGACGGAGAAGCGCGTACCTGCGTTCTCCTCGCAGTCCGTCTTGGAGGGTTTAGGCAACGTGTTATGATTTTCTGCAGGAAGGCCATCACGTTTTTGCTTTGCCCGTCGCGGCCTAGCGGACCTTTTGGAGCCGCATAGTCGGCGTTTTTGAACTGAGGTCACAGCTCGTGGCGGGCCGGCGCGGCGCCCTGACCCGGCCTCACCATGTTGGTTCTGTTTGAAACGTCCGTTGGCTACGCCATCTTTAAGGTAGGTGGGAGAGCGAGCCGTTAAAGGGGGAAGGCCGGTACTGCACAGACGAGGAGAGGGAAAGACTTAAGCACGGAACTACTCAGGGTAGCGTGGGTACCTCGTTTCGCCCGGGTTCTGGAAGGAGGTAGAAGGCTTTTACACCTGAGAGCCCTGTTACAGATAACACGTGGCCCCGCCGTTTGAGGAGACGTTCTGCGTTAGAGGATTTTATTTCCTCCGGTTGAAGAGGTGTGTAGGAGGCGTGTTAAGAGTTTAACAGGTTATAGGGAATTCGGATTTTATTCTAGATATTTTACGGAATGATCAAAAGGAGTTTTTTTGGTTTTTTTGAGACGGGGTTTCGCTCTTGTTGCCCAAGAGGCTGGAGTGCAGTGGCGCAATTTTGGGTCACTGCAACCTCCGCCTCCCGGGTTCAAGCGATTCTCCTGCCTCAGCCTCCCAAGTAGATGGGATTGCAGCCAGCCACCACCACGCCCGACTTTTTTTTTTTTTTTTTTAAGAGATTGGCGAGGCGGGGGGGTCTCACCATGTTGGCTAGGCTGGTGTTTAACTCCTGACCTCAAATAATCTATCTGCCTCGCCTCCCAACCTGGAATTACTGGCGTGAGTCACCGTGCCCAGCCAATCCAAGGGTGTTAAACAGAGGAATGACCTGCTAATTTGTCTTAATACGATTACTCTGCTGCGTGGAGACTAGACTCGAGCAGCGAAGAAAAGCAGCAAGTACACTTTTGCGTTCATTTAGACAAGCTGAAATTGCCTGGTACGGAGAAAAACATATCGATAGAAATTTTGAAGGTAGTAAAGACATGATGGACTGATAGATTAAATGTGGGGTTTTTGTTTAAATAAGATGTTAAGACAGTTTCTTGCTGGGGGGGAAACACTGAAGATTTCCGGTCTGGGCTTTGCGAAGCTTGCTTTGTCTATTAGACGTGATAATTCAATTGTGTAGGTCGGACAGTAGTTCAAGTTCGAAGCTAAGCGGGGGGAAATCTCGGCTGGTGATACCAGTTTGAGATTTGAATGTTTTCATGGGGAAACTCTGACAGGTTCGTCAGCATGGAAATGGTCAAACGGTAAGACCTTGGTACCGCAGGCTGCTATTGAGATGTTAGGAAGAATGAGATAGAGTGAGTGCCTTTTCTTGTGCCATACACTCTTCAGAGCTCTGCGAATATAGCAATGAAAAATAACATTTTTATGTGTATTCTACATATATATGTGTTGGTAGAAAGCAAAAACGCTGGATAATAAATGGAGTACAATTTTAGCTGTGAAACAAACCATTTGTGGTGTGGATGCAGAAAGTCTGGATGGGTACAGAGTTCTACATGTTTCACTTCTGACGTTTGAAAATACACAGTTTGCATTTTATAGGTCAAATACTTGTTATTTTTAAGAAAACCGATAAAATAATCATTAAAACTGAAAAGGCAGTTTTGCTTGTAAGTAAGCTCCTTAGTCCTCCTTAGAGCTATTAAATATGTCTGTTTTACTTTTCTCCAACTTTTTGGAATCTTACCTGAATTCTCAGGTAGACTTCTGCATAGCTCCAAATTCTCTTAGGCATTGTGGTCAGTCTATCTATAAATTTCACCGTTAATTGATAATACTGTCCTGAACTGGATGTTATGAGGAGCAACTCAGCAAGCAGTCTACTGATTGTCTCCCATTGGAGGAAGGAATTGACTTAGCAATGGTCTGATTTGTAGACTTGGGTCCTAAAATCTGTAACCATGTCTCAATATATTACTGATTTCTATTAATGGAAAGTGTCTTCCTACATAAAAATGTCTTTGAGGCCAGACACGGTGGCTCACACTTGTAATCTCAGCACTTTGGGAGGCTGCGATGTTTGGATCACAAGGTCAGGAGTTCGAGACCAGCCTGGCCAATATGGTGAAACCCATCTCTACTAAACATACAAAAATTAGCCGGGAGTGGTGTCAGGTGCCTGTAGTCCCAGCTACTCAGGAGTCTGAGGCGGGAGAATTGCTTGAACCCAGGAGGCGGGCAGAGGTTGCAGTGAGCCAAGATTACGCCACTGTACTCCAGCCTGGGCAACAGAGCCAGACTCCATCTCAAAAAGAAAAAAATAGTCTTTGAGTATTCAGTTGGAGTTTGCAGTGTTATTTATTAGGAAGTTACTGCTCAAACTGATTAAATTATGGTTTATGTGACCTAGTATTAAAGAAATAACTAAGGCCGGGCGCGGTGGCTCAAGCCTGTAATCCCAGCACTTTGGGAGGCCGAGGCGGGTGGATCGCGAGGTCAAGAGATCGAGACCATCTTGGTCAACATGGTGAAACCCCGTCTCTACTAAAAATCCAAAAAAATTAGCTGGGCATGGTGGCGCGTGCCTGTAATCCCAGCTACTCAGGAGGCTGAGGCAGGAGAATTGCTTGAACCCAGGAGGCGGAGGTTGCGGTGAGCCGAGATCGCGCCATTGCACTCCAGCCTGGGTAACAAGAGGGAAACTCCGTCTCGGGGAAAAAAAAAAAAAAAAGAAATAACTAGTTAGGCTTGAATATGTTGAGATTGATTAGTTTGTAATTATTATAATTAACATTGGTAATTTCTGAGTATAATAAACGTTCTGGAACTAGTGACGGCTGCACATTTTTGTGAAAAAACACTAAAACGTGAATTGTACACTTTAAAGGGCAAATATTAAGATTTATGTAAAATTAATATGTGGTATGTAATGGTGAATTTTATCTCCTAAAAAGTAGACTTATATACAGTTCAAGCTTTTTAGTTTCCTTTCCCGTAATCTTTCAAAATGCTAGGGTATAAAATTGTATTGGTTGCATACAATTCATGCCTTGATGAGAATGCCTTAAGAAGGTTTTTTTTTTTTTTTTTTTGGAGACGAAGTTTTGCTCTTTTTACCCAGGCTGGAGTGCAATGGCGCGATCTCGGCTCACTGCAACCTCCGCCTCCTGAGTTCAGGCAATTCTGCCTCAGCCTCCTGAGTAGCTGGGATTACAGGCATCTGCCACCATGCCCAGCTAATTTTTTTTTTGTATTTTTAGTAGAGACGGGGTTTCACTATGTTGACCAGGGATGGTCTCGATCTGTTGACCTCGTGATCCACCCGCCTCGGCCTCCCAAAGTGCTGGGATTACAGCTTGAGCCACCGCGCCCAGCCTTGCTTTAATAAGTTTTTTTGAGGTTTTTTTAAACCTCCATTTACAGTGAGGAAGACATTTTATATATAACCCAGTGTACACATAAACATTCATATTTTTATTTAATTTTGAGACAGGATCTTGCTCTGTCACCCAGGCTGGAGTGCAGTGGCAGGATCATGGCTCACTGCAGCCTTGGTCTCTTGGGTCAAGTGATCCTCCCACCTCAGCCTCCCAAGTAGCTGGGACTACAGGCTCCAGCCACCATGCCTAGCTAATTAAAAAAATTTTTTTTAGGTACATAGTGTCACTATGTTTCCTAGGCTTATCTCAAACTCCTGGCCTCAAGGTGCTGGGATTACAGGTATGAGGTACACTATTCTGCCCACTTCATGTTTAGAGCAATTCAAAAAGAAACACTTACAAAAATTTATTGTTGATTAACAGGGTTATATATACATGTGAATGTAAAAACATTGTTTAGAGCAGGCTTCCCCAGACTTTTTACACAGGGGGCCAGTTCACTGTCCCTCAGACCGTTGGAGGGCCGCTGCATACTGTGCTCCTCTCAGTGACCACCAATGAAAGAGGTGCCCCTTCCTGAAGTGCGGCGAGGGGCAGATAAATGGTCTCAGGGGGCCGCATGCGGCCCCGCGGGCCCGTAGTTTGGGGACGCCTGGTTTAGAGGAACTGTTGTGATTAATTCTATGATATTATAAAATTCAACCTGTGTCCTTGTGTCACATGGCACACAGCATAAGATTTTGGTCTTTCTCATACCAGACTGTCTTTAGCTGTGCTCTTCCATGTGGTAGCCACTAGAATATAACCATTTAACATGGTATATAGCTTAGATGATGGAGAAAGTTAATTTTTTTTTTTTTTTTTTTTTTTTTTTTGAGACGGAGTTTCGCTCTTATTACCCAGGCTGGAGTGCAATGGCGCGATCTCGGCTCACCGCAACCTCCGCCTCCCGGGTTCAGGCATTTCTCCTGCCTCAGCCTCCTGAGTAGCTGGGATTACAGGCACGTGCCACCATGCCCAGCTAATTTTTTGTATTTTTAGTAGAGACAGGGTTTCACCATGTTGACCAGGACGGTCTCGATCTCTTGACCTCGTGATCCACCCGCCTCGGCCTCCCAAAGTGCTGGGATTACAGGCTTGAGCCACCGCGCCCGGCCTAGTTAATTTTAATTTATTTGAATTTTAAGGTTATATTGTACAGTGTAACTGTGTAGCATATCATTTTGTGTCAATTTTCTCAAGGTTTGGAGAAAGATTTTTGATGTTTATGTAAAACCTGAGTACTTAGCAAAATATTTATGGAACACTTTGTTGCAAGAAGTTCTCAAGTTAGTCCTGCCCTAAACAACCACTGATCAGCTTGCTTTCTGCTTTTTTTCCTTTTTCTTTTTCTTTTTCTTTTTTTTTTTTTTTTTTTTTTTTGGAGATGGAGTTTCGCTCTTGTTGCTCTTGAGATGGAGTTTCTCTCTTTTTCCCCGGGCTGGAGTGCAGTGGCACAATCTCTGCTCACCACAACCTCCGCCTGTATTTTTTGTAGAGACGGGGTTTCTCCACATTGGTCAGGCTGGTCTTGAACTCCTTACATCAGGTGATCTGCCCGCATCGGCCTCCCAAAGTGTTGGGATTACAGGCGTGAGCCACTGCGCCTGGCCTTCTTGCTGCATAATTTTTTCTAGAAGTTTCATGTAAGTGGAGTGGTCTTTTTTTTCCTTGAGATGGAGTCTCGATATATCGCCCAGGCTGGAGTGAAGTGACGTTATTTCAGCTCACTGCAACCTCCGCATCCCAGGTTCAAGTGATTCTCCTGCCTCAGCCTCCCAAGTGGCTGGGATAACAGGCTTGTGCCACCACGCCTGGCTAATTTTTGTATTTTTAGTTGAGATGCAGTTTTGCCATGTTGGCCAGGCTGGTTGTGAACTCCTGACCTCAGGTGATCCGCCCGTGTCTCAGCCTCCCAAAGTGCTGGGATTACAGGTGTGAGCCACTGCGCCCAGCCGGCTTTTTTTGTTTAACATAATGCTTCTGAAGCTAACCCAAGAACTTTTTTGCTCTCATTGCATGTATGGATTTGTTTCTTTTTGAGCAATTCACATTTTAAGCTAATCTTTTTTTTTTTTTTTTTTTTTTTGAGACGGAGTTTCGCTCTTGTTACCCAGGCTGGAGTGCAATGGCACGATCTCGGCTCACCGCAACCTCCGCCTCCTGGGTTCAAGCAGTTCTCCTGCCTCAGCCTCCTGAGTAGCTGGGATTACAGGCACGTGCCACCATGCCCAGCTAATGTTTTGTATTTTTAGTAGAGATGGGGTTTCACCATGTTCATCACGATGGTCTCGATCTCTCGACCTCGTGATCCACCCGCCTTGGCCTCCCAAAGTGCTGGGATTACAGGCTTGAGCCACCGCGCCCGGCCTAAGCTAATCATTTTTATCCTGTATTCAAACAACTTTTGTAAAGTTTTGGGAGTAAAACTTAAAAGTTAGCATCAAATATTTAAACAAAACATAGAGGTTGGGTGCTCATGCCTGTCACCGTAACGCTTTGGGAGGGTAAGGCAGAATTGTTTGAGCCTAGGAGTTGCAGACCAGCCTGGGCAACACGGCAGGGAAAAAACCTAGCTCAGTGCAGTGGTTCCTGCTTGTAGTCCCAGTGACTATAGAAGGCTGAGGTGGGAGGATCACCTGAGCCCAGGTAGGCCATGGCTACAGTAAGCTGTGATTGAGCCTCTGCACTTTAGCCTGGACAACTCATCTCCCAAAAAAAAAGTCACACAGAAAGTCTCAAGCAATCAATTAAAAATAAAATTAGGGAAGATACTGTACATAAATTTATTTCTATCTGGAATAAAGAATGGCGCGGTCTCCACTGACTGCAACCTTTGAGTCCAGGATTCAAGTGATTCTCCTGCCTCGGTCGACCAAGTAGCTAGGATTACAGGCATGTGCCACCATGCCCGGCCATTTTTCCTTTTGAGACAGTCTTACTGTGTCACCCAGGCTGGAGTGCAGTGGCATGATCTCGATCTCAGCTGACTATAACCTCCACCTCCCAGGTTCAATTGATTCTCCCACCTCAGCTTCCCAAGTAGCTGGGATAGCTGGGACTACAGGTGCCCACCACCACACCTGGCTAGTTTGTTTTTGTGTTTTTGTGGTTTTTTTTTTTGTTTGTTTGTTTTTTGTATTTTCAGTAGAGACAGAGTTTCACTATGTTGGCCAGGCTAGTCTCAAACTCCTGACCTCATGATTCACCCCCTTTGGCCTCCTAAAGTGCTGGTGTTACAGGCATGAGCCACAGTGCCTGGCCCCCGGTACTGTTTTGAGGCAAGACCTAGGCATTTAATTTCTGTTTGTATCTGTAAAATATAAAGACTTGGCCGGGCGCAGTGGCTCAAGCCTGTAATCCCAGCACTTTGGGAGATCGAGGCAGGTGGATCAGGAGGTCAAGAGATCGAGATCATCCTGTTCAACATGGTGAAACCCCGTCTCTACTAAAAATACAAAAAAAAAATTAGCTGTGCATGGTGGGGCGTGCGTGTAATCCCAGCTACTCAGGAGGCTGAGGCAGGAGAATTGCCTGAACCCAGGAGGCGGAGGTTGCAGTGAGCCGAGACTGTGCCATTGCACTCCAGCCTGGGTAACAAGAGCAAAACTCCGTCTTAAAAAATATATATATATGAAGACTTACTATAATTAATTCATTTTGAGACAGGAGTTTTGCTCTTGTTGCTTAGGCTGGAGTGCAGTGGTACCATCTCAGCTCACTGCAAACTCCTCCTGGGTTCAAACGATTCTCCTGCCTCAGCCTCCTGAGTAGGTGGGATTACAGCATGTACCACACCACACCCGGCTAATTTTTTGTAGTTTTAGTAGAGACAGGGTTTTGCCATGTTGGTCAGTCTGGTCTCAAACTCCTGACCTCAGGTGATCCACCCTCCTCGGCCTCCCCAAGTGCTGGGATTACAGAGCCACTTCACCCGGCCATGAAGACTTATTTTAAAAGCAAGTAGTATTGTAACAACAATGCTGAAGATTGCAATGGTAATAGTAGTTGTATACTATTTCTACTTAGAAATGGAAATTATCCTATCTTTATATAAAATGGATTTGTGTATATAAATATTTCTCATTACCTTGGCTGAAAAAAAAAAACGATTAAAAGTTTGAGACAGGGGCTGGGCGCGGTGGCTCAAGCCTGTAATCCCAGCACTTTGGGAGGCCGAGGCGGGTGGATCACAAGGTCAAGAGATCGAGACCAACCTTGGTCAACAAGGTGAAACCCCGTCTCTACTAAAAATACAAAAAATTAGCTGGGCATGGTGGTGCATGCCTGTAATCCCAGCTACTCAGGAGGCTGAGACAGGAGAATTGCCTGAACCCAGGAGGCGGAGGTTGCGGTGAGCCGAGATCATGCCATTGCACTCCAGGCTGGGTAACAAGAGCGAAACTCCGTCTCAAAAAAAAAAAAAAAAAAAAAAAGTTTGAGACAAATGTAAAACAGAAAATGTAGCAATATCTCTAACTTTTTATTTATATTATCTTTGTTAGCAATGTTTTCTTCAAGATGTTTTTGCACAGTTGGGAATATAATGGTTTTATTTGTCATAGTAATGGTTTTGTCATAACACAGTTTTTGAAGACGTTTGTGTGCTCACGAATTGCCCTGATTTTATTAGATTTCCTTTGTTACTTTAAGAATGGTGGTAGTATTTTTTAAATGTGCCAGTTTTATTACCCAGATGTTATCTTCAGATATATTTGCTTTTCAGTTAGAAAAAACGTGAATTGGGCCGGGTGCGGTGGCTCAAGCCTGCAATCCCAGCACTTGGGAGGCCGAGGCCGGTGGATCACGAGGTCAAGAGATCGAGACCACCCTGGTCAACATGGTGAAACCCTGTCTCTACTAAAAATACAAAAAATTAGCTGGGCATGGTGGGGCGTGCCTGTAATCCCAGCTACTCAGGAGGCTGAGGCAGGAGAATTGCCTAAACCTAGGAGGCGGAGGTTGCGGTGAGCCAAGATCATGCCATTGCCATTGCACTCCAGCCTGGGTAACAAGAGTGAAACTCCATCTCAAAAAAAAAAAAATTCTAGTTTTATTATTTTAGTGAAAGAAACAGCTTCTACCACCCTCATTTTACATGTATGGTTGTAATTGAAGGATGCAGCTTTGTATGCCTAGCCTGTACCATTTAAATAAAACCATTTAAACATTTTATTGCAGGTTCTAAATGAGAAGAAACTTCAAGAGGTTGATAGTTTATGGAAAGAATTTGAAACTCCAGAGAAAGCCAACAAAATGTAAGTAATCTTTATTTATTTATTTATTTTTATTTTTTTATTTTATTTTTTTGAGACGGAGTTTCGCTCTTGTTACCCAGGCTGGAGTGCAATGGCGCGATCTCAGCTCACCGCAACCTCCGCCTCCTGGGTTCAGGCAGTTCTCCTGCCTCAACCTCCTGAGTAGCTGGGATTACAGGCACGCACCACCATGCCCAGCTAATTTTTTGTATTTTTAGTAGAGACGGGGTTTCACCATGTTGACCAGGATGGTCTCGATCTCTTGACCTTGTGATCCACCCGCCTCGGCCTCCCAAAGTGCTGGGATTACAGGCTTGAGCCACCACGCCCGGCCTAGTAATCTTGAAATTAATAATTTAGCAGTTAACATTTAGGGCTTGATTTATGTATGTATCTATGTATGTATGTATGTATGTATGTTTGTTTGTATGTTTGTGATGGAGTCTCACTGTCTCCCAGGCTGGAGTGCAGTGGCCCCATCTCAGCTCACTGCCGCCTCCACCTCCCGAGTTCAAGCACTTCTCCTGCTTCAGCCTCCCCAGTAGCTGGAACTACAGGCATGTACCACCACACCCAGCTAGTTTTTTTATTTTTAGTAGAGATGGGGTTTCACCATGTTGGCCATGATGGTCGTTATCTCCTGACTTCATTATCTGCCTGCCTCAGCCTTACAAAGTGCTGGGATTATAGCCGTAAGCCGCTGCACCCAACCTAGTGTAGATCTTAAATATTTGTATTTTTCTGTGTATTTAAGGGATCACACTAGCATCTTTCCTTACCAGATAAGAAAACCTTGCTTAAGATGACACTGTTGCCAGTGTGGTGGCTTAACACCTGCAATCCCAGCACTTTGGGAGGCCGAAGTGGGTGGGTCATTTGAGGTTAGGAGTTCAAGACGAGCCTGGCCAACACGGTAAAACCTCATCTCTACTAAAACAAAAACAAAAAACAAAAATTAGCCAGACGTTGTGGTGCTCTCCTATAATCCCAGCTACTCTGGAGGCTGAGGCAGGCGAATTGCTTGAGCCTGGGAGGTGGAGGATGCAGTGAGCTGAGACGGCACCACTGTACTCCAGTCTGGTTGACAGAGTGAGACTCTATCTTAAAAAAAAAAGACAGAGCCGGGCGCGGTGGCTCCAGCCTGTAATCCCAGCACTTTGGGAGGCCGAGACGGGTGGATCACTAGTTAAAGAGATCGAGACCATCCTGGTCAACATGGTGAAACCCCGTCTTTACTAAAAATACAAGAAATTAGCTGTGCATGGTGGGGCGTGCCTGTAATCCCAGCTACTCAGGAGACTGAGGCAGGAGAATTGCCTGAACCCAGGAGGCAGAGGTTGCAGTGAGCCGAGATCACACCATTGCACTCCAGCCTGGGTAACGAGCGAAACTCCGTCTCAAAAAAAAAAGAAGACAGTTTTAGGCAAATACAAGACTAGTTTTCCTTCTTAAAGGGTTATATGCTTTGTGGGGTTAATCTGATTCGTTGTTGTCAATGATGTATTGTTGGAACTGAATCTAAGTGATCCGACTCTATTCGTCACTACCACTGAGACAATGACGAGTCAACTATATTTTTCTTTCTGTATAAAATACTACTCTGAGGTGGGGTGTGGTGGCTCATGCCAGTAATCCCATCATTTTGGGAGGCCAAGGCAGGCGGATCATTTCAGCGCAGGAGTTTAAGACCAGCCTGGTCATCATAGTAAAAACCCATCTCTACCAAAAACAAAACTTAGCCATGCGTGTTGGCTCATACCGATGGTCCCAGCTACTTGGGAGACTGGGACTAGAAGATCCTTTGAGCCCGGGAAGTCAGGGCTGCAGTGAGCTGTGATTGCACCACTGCATTCCAGCCTGCGTGACAGAGTGAAGTGAGACCCTGTCTTAAAAACGGAAAGGGTGGTGGGTAACAAGAAAGAGATCTGACAATAAGCTTTTTTTTTTTTTTGAGACCGAGTTTCCTTCTTGTTACCCAGGCTGGAGTGCAATGGCGCGATCTCGGCTCACCGCAACCTCCGCCTCCTGTGTTCAGGCAGTTCTCCTGCCTCAGCCTCCTGAGTAGCTAGGATTACAGGCACGCGCCACCATGCCCAGCTGATTTTTTGTATTTTTGGTAGAGACGGGGTTTCACCATGTTGACCAGGATGGTCTCGATCTCTTGACCTTGTGATCCACCCGCCTTGGCCTCCCAAAGTGCTGGGATTTACAGGCTTGAGCCACGGCGCCCGGCCCTTTTTTTTTTTTTTTTTTTTAAAAAGACAGTCTAGCTCTGTCACCAGGCTGGAGTGCAGTGGTTCGCTCTTGGCTCACTGTACTTCCTCCTTCCTGGTTCAAGCGATTCTCCTGCCTCAGCCTCCCGAGTAGCTGGCATTATAGGCAAGTGCTGCCATGCCCAGCCAATTTTTGTCTTTTAGTAGAGACGCAGTTTCACCATGTTGGCTAGGATGGTCTCGATCTCCTGACCTCATGATCCGCTCACCTTGGCCTCCCAAAGTGCTGGGATTACAGGTGTGAGCCACTATACTTGGCTGACAGTAAGCTATTTTTTAATGGCATTTGTACAGAATAGACAAATGAATATCATGAGATTCTTAACTTAAAAAGGTCACATTTTTTTCCCTTGGGTCAATTCTATGCTGTATAATAAAGTCATCTCTGTACAGCTTTATGCAACAGGGGTTTATGTTAAAGCCTCAGCATCTTTACTGTTGGCTCAAGTTTCATTCAAAGCCCACAACTTTCTCTGTAGTAGTCTGAGCATTGCTAGCCTAGCAGTTAGATAAATATTAATTTTGGCTGGGTGTGGTGGCTTCTGCCAGTAATCTCAGTACCTTTGGAGGCCTAGGCAGGTGGATCATATGAGGTCAGGAGTTTGGCCAACATGGTGAAACCCCATCTCTAAAAATAAATGAATGAGGAAAACTATTAATTTTATGAAGAATATCTAACTTTGCTCGTAATACACAATGATAGGCATGTTTCATTGGTGTGTGCTTTGGAAACAGTCACACACTTCTTTCTAAGTTACGTGGGTTTTGAATCATTGTACCCTCCCCCACCCATAACCTGTTTCTCTCTTTTTTAATTCTAGAGTAAAGCTAAAACATTTTGAGAAATTTCAGGATACAGCAGAAGCATTGGCAGGTAAAGTAAAAAACTAGAAGCTTGCTTTTTAAAGTCTTGGCCATTTGTTTTTTTATTAAGAGGTTGTTTGCTTCAGTTGCCTGAGTTAATTTCATTCAATGTTGTCAATGATGCATTCTTATTGGAACTGAATTTAAGTGATCTGATTGATTCGTCACTACCACTGAGACAACATTGAGTTAGCTTTTTTCACCATAGGGCTGGTTCTCCCCCATGTGTGAGGAGAGGTGAGAAGTGGTTAAGTTGATCTCCCTGTGGAAACCAGCAACATAATGCTGAAGCCCAATTCATTACAAGGGACCAAGGTAATGTGGTCAAGTACACAGCTCTCTGATCATTTTAACCCAAGGGCAGAGTTGTCATCCTGAGAACAGCCAGGATTCACAGTTGAAAAGAATAATTTAAAAAGCTCTTCTGGGGGTATAGATTCTTCCGTTCAAAAAAGCTATCAGTATTCAAAGTTATAGGGAAACTGATACAGGTTTTATTTGTAAAAGATACAGAAGAATGACTGACTCACAGTGTTAACTAGATTTCATCATGGGACAACAGACGTATAATGATAGGGTGTATTTACTATAAACAGGTTTTTTTAAAGTGTTAGGGAAAACAGGAAGAGCAGATATAAAACTTAAATCATTAAATTTTCAACTGTCTAAATTCTCTGTCAAATCAGCCAACTACTTGGTGGTGTAATTTGAAAATGAAGGACTGTGAGGAAGACTATGGCTTAAAGCTGGACAAGAATATAACAGATGCAAATAATGTTGTTAAATAGCCACAGGTTAAAGGTACAGTTTTTGTGTGAAAATTAGGAATCCAGCTAAACATGCTGGAACTTTTAATAGGCCACCCTAACCTTGGCAGAGGGGTAGGCTGAAGGAAGGAAGACCCATAAGGCCAGTTTCTTTGTTTTATAAATATAGTTCTTGGGCTGCTTCACCAACCCTTCAGTAATTAGAGCTATATACAGCCATAGAGAACAACTGTGTTAATATTAACTTGGAGAATTTTTTAAAATGTAGTCTGTTCATCACAGCTTTAAGTATGAGTAGAAATTTGGTAAAATTTCAAACAAGATTGTATTGGATGTATTTCAACTCTAGGGGGCGTTGTTGACACAGACCAGGATGTGAACAGTTTCTATTGCATATGTAAATGCTGCAGTCCCCCTTATCTCAAGTAGCCTATTTGGAGTGCAGTGGCAAGATCTTGGCTCACACTGCAACCTTCACCTCCCAGATTCAAGCAATTCTCCTGCCTCAGCCTCCTGAGTAACTGGGACAATAGGTGCACACCACCACATCAAGTTAAATTTTGTGTTTTTAGTAGAGATGAGACGTGAGCCACCGTGTCTGGCCCATAAGATCTTTAATCTGCTTTGGATATTTCTGTCCAGTCCCTATTATATTGTGTTAAATGGACAGGGTCAGCTTTTGCCCAAACAGGTAGCAGGTTTTTACTATTAATAGCTAATATATTGAGCACATACTCATTGCCAGATTTGTACTTACCATTTTGTAATTGTTATTTGATCCATGAAAGAATCCTGTGACGTAGATACCATCATCTCTGCTACAGATGATAAAAGTTGAAATTTGAGCCGGGTGCGGTGGCTCAAGCTTGTAATCCCAGCACTTTGGGAGGCCGAGGCGGGTGGATCACGAGGTCGAGAGATCGAGACCATCCTGGTCAACATGGTGAAACCCCGTCTCTACTAAAAATGCAAAAAATTAGCTGGGCATGGTGGCACGTGCCTGTAATCCCAGCTACTCAGGAGGCTGAGGCAGGAGAATTGCCTGAACCCAGGAGGCGGAGGTTGCGGTGAGCCGAGATCGTGCCATTGCACTCCAGCCTGGGTAACAAGAGCGAAACTCCATCTCAAAAAAAAAAAAAAAAAAAAAAGTTGAAATTTGAGCAGTGTTTCTGGATTCCTCTTCCTAGCTTCTTTGTATTATTTAAAGTAATGTACAATAAGGCTGGCCCAGTGGTTCATGCCTGTAATCCTAGCACTTTGGGAGGCTGAGGCAGGCAGATCACCTGAGGTCAGGAGTTCAAGAGCAGCCTGGCCAATGTGGTAAAACCACACCTGTACTAAAATTACAGAAATTAGCTGGGTGTGGTGGTACACACCTCTAGTCCCAGCTACTCTGGAGACTGAGGCAGGAGAATTGCTTCAACCTGGGAAGCAGAGGTTGCAGTAAACTGAGGTTACGCCACTGTACTCCAACCTGGGTGACAGAGCGAGACTCCATCTCAAAAATGACATAAAATTAAGTAATGTACATTAAATGGACAAAATGACATCGTAGCTGAGAATTTAAAGTCGGACACCCCCCCCAAACCCCAGTCTAAGCTCCATGAGGGCAGAGATTGTTCTGCACTCTCAAATCCCTAGATTCTAGTAAAGTATATGGCCATAGAAGGTTTATAATAGACATTTTGGGGAAAATGGATCAAATAGTAAACTCTGTCAGGAATCTTGTCACAGAAACAATTAAAGTGCCTTTTCCTATTTGTTTTCACCAGAAAATTGAATGAACATCAGCTTGTTAAGAGAGCAGAATCCTTTCCTAGGAGTTCATTTCTTACTGCCTGTTATAAGGCAGTTTTCTTTCTTTCTTTGTTTCTTTTTTCTAAATAAAGGCGGGGTTTCACCATGTTGGTCAGGCTGGTCTCGAACTTCGGACCTCAGGTGATCCACCCGCCTTGGCCTCCAAAGTGCTTGGATTACAGGCGTGAGCCACCACACCCGGCGTATAAGGCAGTTTTGACTTGATAGAACCACAACCTAAAGGCTGTAGATGTCACAGTGTACATTTTAAACCTATAGCCTTAGAATCTGGTGAGATCAGGCGCTGTGGCTAACACCTGTAATCCCAGCATTTGGGAATCTGAGGTAGGAGTTTGAGATCAGCCTGGGCAATATAGCGAGATTCCCTCTCAGTTTTTTGTTTTTTGTTTTTTTTTTTTTCTGAGATGGAGTCTTGCTCTGCACCCAGGATGGAGTTTAGTGGCGCCATCTCAGCTCACTGCAACCTCCACCTCCTGGGTTCAAGTGACTCTCCTACTTCAGCCTCCTGAGTAACTAGGATTACAGGTGTGCACCACCATCCCTGGCTAATTTTTGCATTTTTTGTAGAGCTCGGATTTGACATTGCTGGCCAGGCTAGCCTTGAACTCCTGACCTTGTGATCTACCCATCTTGGTCTCCCAAAGTGCTAGGATTACAGGCATAAGCCACTGTGCCCAGTTTTGTTTTGGTTTTGTCGGGAGATAGAGTCTTGCTTTGTGACCCAGGCTGGAGTGCAGTGGCACAATCTCGGCTCACTGCATTCTCCTCCTCCTGGGTTCAAGCAATCATCCTAGGGTTCAGCCTCCAAGTAGGTGGGATCACAGTTAGTGCCACCATGTCTGGTTAATTTTTGTGTTTTTGAGTAGAGACGGGATTTCATCTCTTGGCCAGGCTGTCTCTAACTCCTGATCTCAGGTGATCCATTATGCTCAGCCATCAGTTTCTTTTTGGGAGGGGGAGGGTAGGAGTGGAACAGTCTCATTCTGTTGCCCAGGCTGGAGTGCAGTGGCACAATCTTGGCTCACAGCAACCGCAGCCTCCCAAGTAGGTGGGACCATAGGCGTGCACCACCATGCCCAGCTTTTTTTTTTTTTAAAGAGTTAGGGTTTCACTATGTTGGCCAGGCTGGTCTTGAACTCCTGAACTTGTGATCCACCTGCCTCAGCCTCCCACAGTGCTGGGATTACAGGCGTAAGCTACCACATCCAGCCAATTAAAAAAAAAAGAAAAAAATAGTTGGGGTATGACACTGAATTTGTATTGATCTCAGACATTCGTATATGCTATTTGCACAAAGAGGTTTATTTTTTATTGTTGATTGTGTTTTCAACTTGCAAGTCTTAAAAATCATCATGAGAAAATTTGGGGCCTACATTTGGATGAAGTTGGAAGAATACTGTGAGATGCTAAGAAATGGCTAGCAGTGGAGCTAGAGGAAAGATTCAGTTTCCCTTATCCCTGCAACCATCCCTATAGATATCATCCTTTAAAATATATGTATTATGTACAGTAGTTAACAAAGTTTTTTTTTTTTTGAGACGGAGTTTCGCTCTTGTTACCCAGGCTGGAGTGCAATGGCGCGATCTCGGCTCACCGCAACCTCCGCCTCCCAGTCAACATAGTGAAACCCCATCTCTACTAAAAATACAAAAAATTAGCTGGGCATGGTGGCACATGCCTGTAATCCGAGCTACTCAGGAGGCTGAGGCAGGAGAATTGCCTGAACCCAGGAGGCGGAGGTTGTGGTGAGCCGAGATCGTGCCATTGCACTCCAGCCTGGGTAACAAGAGCAAAACTCCGTCTCAAAAGAAAAAAAAAAAATGAAAGGAAGGCTCTTATTAGAAATGTAGATTATGGCTGGGTGTGGTGGCTCACGCCTGTGATCTCAGCACTTTGGGTGGCTGAGGCGGGTGGATCACGAGGTCAAGAGATCAAGACCATCCTGGCCAACATGGTGAAACCTGCCTCTGCTAAAAATACAAAAAATTAACTGGGCATGGTGGCACACGCCGGTGGTCCCAGCTACTTGGGAGGCTGAGGCAGGAGAATGATCTGAACCCGGGAGGCGGAGGTTGCAGTGAGCGAGGCTCTGTCTCAAAAAAAGAAGGAAGGGAGGGAGGGAGGGATTTTGAAGGAAGGAGAAAGAGAAGGAATCTTGGATAAAATTCAGTTAGGTTAGTACCCAACAAAAGTGGCTGGAATGCTAGCTAGGTGTAGACACCCCTGAAAGACCCGATGTGGTGGCCAGATGCTAGCTTCTTAGAGTGTAGACACCTCTAAAGACTCGATGAAGTGCCCAGATGCTTTTTTTTTTTTTTTTTTTTTTTTTTGAGACGGAGTTTCACTCTTGTTACCCAGGTTGGAGTGCAATGGCGCGATCTCTGCTCACCGCAACCTCCGCCTCCTGGGTTCAGGCAATTCTCCTGCCTCAGCCTCCTGAGTGGCTGGGATTACAGGCACACGCCACCATGCCCAGCTAATTTTTTGTATTTTTAGTAGAGACGGGGTTTCACCATGTTGACCAGGATGGTCTCGATCTCTTGACCTCGTGATCCACCCGCCTCGGCCTCCCAAAGTGCTGGGATTACAGGCTTGAGCCACCGCGCCCGGCCCAGATGCTTTTTATGTTCACCTTTCCAGTAACAGATGGAATAGACTTGTAATTCAAATGGATATGCAATCAAGAGGGAAGAGCAAGTACCTGGCTTATTAAGCACAAACTGCCTGACCTTGGAAATTATTGATAGACCTTCCTTTCTTTCTTTTTTTCTTTTTTTGAGACGGAGTTTCACTCTTGTTGTCCAGTCTGGAGTGCAGTAGCACAATCTCAGCTCAGTGCAACCTCTGCCTTCTGGGTTCAAGTGATTTTTCTGCCTCAGCCCCCCTAGTAGCTAGGATTATAGACATGAGCCATCAGCTCCAGCTAATGTTTGTATTTTTAGTAGAGACGGGGTTTTGCCGTGTTAGCCAGGCTGGTCTCAAAACTCCTGACCTTAGGTGATCCAGTGGCCTCAGCCTCCCGTAAGTGCGGGGATTACAGGCGTGAGCACCAAGCCTGGCCCAAGCATACTTCTTTTGTTTGTTGTTTGTTTGTTTGTTTGTTTGTTTGTTTGTTTGTTTTGAGACAAGAATCTCAATCCTGTCACCCAAGCTGCTAGAGTAGTGGCGTGATCACGACTCACTGCAGCCTTGTACTTCCTGGGCTCAGTTGATTATCCCAGATCAGCCTCCCAAGTAGCCAGACTACAGCCATGTGCAACCACGCCCAGCTAATTTTTGTGTTTTTAGTAGAGAGAGAGGGTTTCACCATGTTGCCCAGGCTGGTGGTGCATGCCACCATGCCTGGGTAACCTAAGCATACTTTTACTTCAGTCAAATTCAGATAAATATCAAAAGAGGTGTTAGTTCACAGGGGTACAGAAAATGGGAGTATAGGTCTAAGAAAGGAAAATAATTACAAAGTAGCTGATTTAGAACTTGCCAGAAATAACAGCAGTCTCAAAATAGGAATAGGTAGCCTTTGCTACTAAGTTTTACATTGCTGGAGGTATACAAGCAGAAATACAAGCAAAATAAGACCTTCACTCAAAACATGCTTATGTTGTGACAGAACTTTGAAAATGATCATTTTTACTAGTTTTGATGTGATTCTAGGGTATTTCAGGACAGTCTATCTAAAATGACGAAGGAGAGTGAATCTTTCTTCCCAAAAAGATTGTTTCTTTTTTGTTTTCTTTGTTTCTAAGATTTCATGATTCTCTCTTGAGTTCATGAGAAGATTCTTACTACAGAAGCAGCTCTGGACCTGATTTAACCTCTGGCTCTGTAGCAGAAATGAGGGTGGGAAGATTCAATGAAATTGTGAAACATGTAACTTATAAAACATTTATCTTTTCTTTTCAGAAGTAACATTAAATTTAGGCCCCTTGAAAGGCCTATTTTATTTTTTTAAATGTCAAATAGGACAAGCTCTCAAAATTAAAAATTTGAGAGTTAATGCTTCTTCTTTTTTTTTTTTTGCCTGAAAAGCATTCACAGCTCTGATGGAGGGTAAAATCAATAAGCAGCTGAAGAAAGTTCTTAAGAAAATAGTAAAAGAAGCCCATGAACCGTTGGCAGTAGCTGATGCTAAACTAGGAGGGGTCATAAAGGTAAAGTCATGATTTTATTTTTTGTCATGCCTGCTAGTCAAATCTCATAGCATACCAACTACAAAGCCTAGCCTTTGTAATAAGTTGCTTATTGTAAGTTCTCAATACTTGATCTTTTTTCTCTAAGCTACATGATTTCCCCTAACATCAGCTGAACTTAGCAAATATTTATTATAGAAGATATAGAAGAACAAGAAATGGTAAACATTGGCTTTAACAAATCTGCTACCCATATATCATGCTAGTGTTCTATATATATCTTGCCATATTTTTGTCTAGCCACATTTTTTTCAACAAAAATGGGGTCCTTAGATTTTTTAAAAATGTATTTATTAGAAAACTTTAGTAGAGGTGTATTGCCAGAGATAAAATGTGAGAGTGGAAAGTAAGTCTAGGAAAATAGCCTTCCAAATAGAGAAAAAGAACAATTTGAAAGCCAGGCCTCGAGTGCAGTGGTGCAGTCTCACAGCTCACTGCAGACTTGATCACTGCGATTCTCAAGCAACCCTCCCTCTTCAGCCTCTCCAGTAGCGGGTACTACAGGCACATGCCACAGTGCCCGGCTAATTTTTTATTTTATTTTAGACAGAATCTTGTTCTGTTGCCCAGGCTGGAGTGCAGTGCCACAGTCTCCACTCACTATAGCCTCTCCCTCCCAGGTTTAAGCAATTCCCCTGCCTTAGCCTTCTGACTAGCTGGGATTACAGGTACCTGTCACCATGCTCAGCTAATTTTTGGTTAGAGATGGGGTTTCACCCCGTTGGCCAGACTGGTCTTGAACTCCTGACCTCAAGCAATCCACCATCGGCCTCCCAGAGTGCTGAGATTACATGCGTGAGCCACCATGCCCATCCTGTAATTTAAAAAAGAAGTTAAATAACAGGTAGTAAAAGATCTCCTTAAACCAACAAACAAGGAAACTACTTGGTCAAATTAATCTTTTTATAGCTTTTAATTTATATAGCCAGGCTACCTTCCGGACGCTTGTGTCAGTTTTTACTTCCAACAGTGATACACTGAAGTATTCTACAAATACACTAGAAATTATACTTTTGTCCAACTGAGAAATGCATATATTTAAACCAGTGCTACTTTAATGTTTAAGGAGTAATTTTAGTCTGTGTGCTGTAGCTCTTGCCGTAATCCTAGCACTTTGGGAGGCTGAGGCGGAGAATGAGGTCAGGAGTTAGAGATCACCCTGGCCAACATGGTGAAATCCCATCCCTATTAAAAATCTAAAAATTAGCCAGGCATGGTGGTTCGCACCTATAATCCCAGCTACTGAGGAGGCTGAGGCAATAGAATTGCTTGAACCTGGGAAGCAAAGGTTGCTGTGAGCCAGGATCACACCACTGCACTCCAGCCTAGTCAACAGAGTGAGACTGTCTCAAAAAAAAAAAAAAGATAATAATTTCAGAAAAGTTTGCTTTTCCTTTACTTAATATATATGTTCTTGTTGTAGGAAAAGCTGAATCTCAGTTGTATCCATAGTCCCGTTGTTAATGAACTTATGAGAGGAATTCGTTCACAAATGGATGGATTAATTCCTGGCGTAGAACCACGTGAAATGGCAGCTATGTGTCTTGGATTGGCTCACAGGTGAGAATTACTGGAAAATAAAGTCAGTTTATTTTTGTTTGATAAGCAATTAACATAACACTGTTCTAAGAATGTTACAAAGGCTCTTGTAAACTTCATCAGAACCTTATAAAGAAGATTCTAGTAATATCCTCATTTACAGATGAAACTGATCCCCAAGGTCAATAAAGCTTGTAAGTGGTAAAGCCAGGATTTGAATGCAGGCAGTCTTGCTCCATTTTCTGGATTCTTTTTTTTTTTTTTTGGAGACGGAGTTTCACTCTTGTTACCCAGGCTGGAGTGCAATGGCACGATCTCGGCTCACCGCAGCCTCCGCCTCCTGGGTTCAGGCAATTCTCCTGCCTCAGCCTCCTGAGTAGCTGGGATTACAGGCACGCACCACCATGCCCAGCTAATTTTTTGTATTTTTAGTAGAGACGGGGTTTCACCATGTTGACCAGGATGGTCTCGATCTCTTGACCTCATGATCCACCCGCCTCGGCCTCCCAAAGTGCTGGGATTACAGGCTTGAGCCACCGCGCCCGGCCTGTCTGGATTCTTAAAACATCATCAAAGGAATTCTCTACTCCCCTTAACTTGGATTCCGTATTTCTTGGGCTTTCCCTCTTTTCTTTTTTTTTTTTGAGACAGAGTCTTGCTCTTGTTACCCAGGCTGGAGTGCAATGGCGCGATCTCGGCTCACCACAACCTCTGCCTCCTGGGTTCAGGCAATTCTCCTGCCTCAGCCTCCTGAGTAGCTGGGATTATAGGCACACGCCACCATGCCCAGCTAATTTTTTTGTATTTTTAGTAGAGACGGGGTTTCACCATGTTGACCAGGATGGTCTCGATCTCTTGACCTCATGATCCACCTGCCTCAGCCTCCCAAAGTGCTGGGATTACAGATGTGAGCCACCACGCCCGGCCCCTCTTTTCTTTTATCTCTGTTAAGTCATGCCATTCCTCCATCCACTTAATATTTCCCCAGATTCTCTCATCTGCTGTGGTCTTAAATGGTATGTGTGTATTTGTGTTTTGTTTTACTCTGATTTTTAAAGAGATTTTGGAGTGAGACAAAGAGGGACTAGGTACAATGGCTCACACCTTTAATCCCAACTCTTTGGGAAGCCAAGGCAGGAGGACTGCTTGACCCTTTCAGCCCAGCGGTTGGAGACTGCTGTGGGCAACATAGCAAGGTGTCGTGTCTCCTTTCTCTCTCTCTCTTTTTAGTGAGACAGGGTCTCACACTTGCCCATACTGGAGCACAGTGATGCAGTCTTGGCCCACTGCAGCCTCTGCTTCTGAGGCTCAAGGAACTCTCTTGCCTCAGCCACCTGAGTAGCTAGGATTACAGGCGTGCGCCACTGCTGCCTGGCTAGTTTTTGTATTTTCAGTAGAGACGGGGTTTTACCATGTTGGCCAGGCTGGTCTTGAACTGTGACCTCAAGTGAGCCACCAGGCCCAGCCTTTTTTTTTTTTTTTTTTTTTTTTTTAATTGAAATAGGGTGTTACTCTGTCGTCCAGGCTGAGGTGCAGTGGTGCAATCTCGGCTCACTACATCCTTTACCTCCTGGACTCAAACAATGCTATCTCAGCCTCCCAGGTAGGTGGGACTACAGGTGCACACCACACCATCCCTGGCTGATTGTTTTAACTTTTCGTAAAGATGGGGTTTTGCTATGCTGCCCAGGCTAGAAATCCCAGGCTCAAGTGATCCACCTGCCTTGGCGTCCCAAAGTGTTGTGACTACAGGTGTGAGCCACCATGCCCAGCATTGTCCCTATTTTTAATTGCACATTAACCCTACCATATTTAACTAGAAATCCCTTAGAATAGGCATTACTGCTATGTTGTGATCCATCTCTTAATGAAAAGGTGTAATACTCTGGAATTGCACTATAGATAGTAGGGTTTTGAAGAAAATGATCAGTAGTTACTCAAAACTTATGCAACGTTGTAATCAGAGCACTATCAAATACTATTCCTACTAAAATTGTTACAGTTCAAAAGACATCTTAAGTTCATGTAAAAGAAACACTAAACAAAGGTCTGTTTTAAAATTAAAAGGTGGGCATAGATTGAAAGGGTTGAAGCTGCTAAGTTAGGGATAAAAGCAAAAACACACAAAGGTCAGGGAGAGCTTTGTGATCATTTCTAAGAGGGAAGAACTAGTGAAACTGAGTCAAAAATCCAAACTTCGGTAAATCTGTATGTAGCAGTGGTTCGTTATCAAGGGCAATCAGCTGAGCCCTGGCAGGGCATTTGGCAATGTCCACAGACATTTTTGGTTGTTACGGTTGGGGGTAGGGTGGGGTCTGCCCTGAACGTCTAATGGATAAAAGTTAGGGATACTGCCAAAGGTCCTATAATACACCAGGCAGCCACTATAACAAGGAATTAGAAGACCCAAAATGTCAGTTGTGCTGAGATGAAGAAACATTTATATGCAGACGATATTGTTCCTTCACAGCTTTCTGTTTTCATATATTAAGAATGCTGTAGGGCCGGGCGCGGTGGCTCAAGCCTGTAATCCCAGCACTTTGGGAGGCTGAGGCGGGTGGATCACGAGGTCGAGAGATCGAGACCATCCTGGTCAACATGGTGAAACCCCATCTCTACTAAAAATACAAAAAACTAGCTGGGCGTGGTGGTGCGTGCCTGTAATCCCAGCTACTTAGGAGGCTGAGGCAGGAGAATTGCCTGAGCCCAGGAGGCGGAGGTTGCAGTGAGCCGAGACCGCGCCATTGCACTCCAGCCTGGGTAACAAGAGCGAAACTCCGTCTCAAAAAAAAAAAAAAAAGAATGCTGTAAAGTTCTTAACTGGTCGTGTAAAGCATTAATTTGTTGTAAAATATTGCATGAACCAATATGGTGGTTGGTTCATTTTTTGTTTTTGTGTGTGTGTGTGAGATGGGGTCTTGCTCTGTTGCCCAGGCTGGAGTGCTATTTGTCATTTATATATAAACTCATTTATGTTACAGAAATACAGGTTGTAGCAGTATGTATGGATTTTTTTTTTTTTAATGTGTTCTTTCTGATCTTACATGATACATTTCTACTTAGCTGATTTTTCTTCTTAGAAAAACAAATTATAAGGCAGGGCACCGTGGCTCACGCCTGCAATCCCAGCACTTTGGGAGGCTGAGGCCAGCCAATCACCTGAGGTCAGGAGTTTGAGACCAGCCTGACCAACATGGTTAAACCCTGTCTCTACTAAAAATACAAAAATTAGCAGGCATGGTGGTGGGCACCTGTAATCTCAGCTACTCAGGAAGCTGAGGCAGGAGAATCACTTGAATCTGGGAGTTGGAGGTTGCGATGAGCTGAGGTTATGCCACTGCACTCCATCCTGGGCAACAGAGCGAGACTCTGTCTAAAAAGAAAAAGAAAAACCAGTTATACCTTTGAGAGGGATTTGAGTAAAACAAACTTTAAGATGTTAATTTAAGTGCTTTCCCTAGATGCTATCTTACTAATTTACTTTCCCCTTTCTCCCCAGCCTATCTCGATATAGATTGAAATTTAGCGCTGATAAAGTAGACACAATGATTGTTCAGGCAATTTGTAAGTATAGTTCATGCAAAGTCTGATTTGTTGCTCTGTCCTTCATGTGTTTTATACTGTTGAGACTACCTTTTATGATCTATCTGTTGAGAAAGAGAAAGAAGGCCAGGCACAGTGGCTCACCCTTTTAATCCCAGCACTTAGGGAGTCCGAGGTGGGCAAATCACCTGAGGTCAGCAGTTCGAGACCAGCCTGGCTAACATTGCCAAACCCCATGTCTACTGAAAGTACAAGAAAATTATCTAGGCTTTCTGGTGCACACCTGTGATCCCAGCTACTCAAGAGGTTCAGGCAGTAGAATCACTTGAACCCAGAAGGCGGAGGTTGTAGTGAGCTGACATCGTGTCACTGTACTCCAGTCTGGGCAACAGAACAAGAATGCATCTAAAAAAGGGGGGGAAGGAGAAAGAAGATCAGCTAAAACTTGTACTAAGTAAATAAATTTGAAAATGCAAAATAAAAGAAACTACCCATAATTTGGCTATTTGGAGATTATGTGAATCACAGAATTAACATTACATAAATTAATTCATTTGCGTTTTTTCATGAAAATGTTAAAAACAATTAAGTGGAATCTGTATAGTTGTGTATTCTGCTTTGTCATTTAAATGATTTTTTGAGAGCTTGAAAAATCTTTTTTTTTTTTTTTTAAGACAGTGTTTTGCTCTTGTTGCTCAGGCTGGACTGCAATGGCGTGATTCTCCTGTCTCGGCCTCCGGGTGGCTGGGATTACAGGATTTTTTTCATGTTGGTCAGGCTGGTCTTGAACTCCAGGCCTCAAGTAGTCCACCTGCCTACCTGAGATTTATACCCAAAAGAATTAAAGACAGGAACTCAGACTTCCTTGTACCCCTATGTCCATAATAATGTTACTTACAAAACCAAATAACGAAAACCCAAATACCTTTTAACAGATGAATGGATAAACTGCATTGTGTATACAGCTTGAATGTCCCTAATCTGAAATTTAAAATGCTCCAAAATCTAGAACACTTTGTCCTACCACATAAAGCCAAAAGTGGAAAACTCCACACCTGACCACATGTGACAGATAGTTAAGACTTTGTTTCATGCACAAAATTATTTAAAATACTGCATAAAATTACCTTCAGGGTTTTGTATGTAAGGTGTATGTGAAATGTAGATTTCCTATTTAGACTTGAAGTCCAAACTTCAAGATATCTCATACATGTTTGCAAATATTCTGAAATACTTCTGGTCACAAGCATTTTGGATAACATGCACCCAGCCTGTACACACAGTGGAATATCAGTCAGCCTTAAGAAGAAATGAAATTCTGATACTTATTTCAACTTGATAAACCTTGAAAATATGCTAAGTGAAATAGTCACAAAATACTGCATGATACCTGAAATAGGTCATTTCATTGAGACAGAAGTATAGAGATAGCTGGAGGTTGGGGGAAGGTGGGAATGAGGAGTTTACTGTTTAATGGATACAGAATTTTTGGTTTCTTGTGATAAAATTGCTCTGAAAATAGATTGTGGTAGTGGTTGCATAACATTGTAAATGTACTTATTGCTACTGAATTGTACACTTGAAAATGGTTGAAGTCTTAAATTTTATGTCATGTATATTTTACCACAATAAATCTCTTAAGTTCCTGTGGTTTTTGTTTTTTGTTGTTTGTTTCGTTTTGTTCTTATTTTAATCTACAGCCTTGTTAGATGACTTGGATAAAGAACTAAACAACTACATTATGCGATGTAGAGAATGGTATGGCTGGCATTTCCCTGAATTAGGAAAAATTATTTCAGATAATTTGACATACTGCAAGTGTTTACAGAAAGTTGGTGAGTAATTTGTTTGTCCTTTAAGTCATTGACAGTAAATGAATTTGGCCAGGCATGCTGGCTCACGCCTGTAATCCTAACACTTTGGGAGATTGAGGTGGTAGGATCACAAGGTTAGGAGTCTGAGACCAGCCTAGCCAACACGGTGAAACCTCGTCTCTACTAAAAATACAAAAATTAGCTTGGTGTGGTGGTGGGCACCTGCAACCCCATGTACTTGGGACACTGAGGCAGGAGAATTGCTTGAACCCTGGAGGTGGAGGTTGCAGTGAGCCGAGATCCCACCACCGTACTCCAGCCTGGGTGACTGGGCAAGACTCTGTTCCCCAAAAAAGTAAAAGAATTTGATTGCATCCTAAAACATGAGTTACAGCATTTTGTTAAGATTCCCAGGGTTTTTATAATTTCTGTGTATTTGGGAAGTGTAGCAATTTAGTGTCTTAAATTTAAGAAACAATGAATTTTAACTTAGATTTTGATGGCCTGTACTATGACATTAGTACCTGATACTCAATATATAGCCATATTGCTGTCTATCTGTACTGTTAACATACAGAGGAACTTGATTGTTGATAAATAATGGCTTACTTGGCTTACTAATTACAGGCCTCAGCTTCAGTATAAAGTCTGTGACATTATTAGTCCTGTCTTTTTTAATTTTTGCCACTTATTTTCTGAAATGAGTTTTGTGGCATCTTTATTTATTTATTTATTTTTTTGGATGGTCTCGATCCCTTGACCTCGTGATCCACCCGCCTCGGCCTCCCAAAGTGCTGGGATTACAGGCTTGAGCCACCGCGCCCAGCTATTTAGTTTTTACTCTGATTATTTTTTGGAGGAAGGTGGTGGGGAGAAATTTTATCTCTAAACTCAAACCCTTAAAAGAGGAAAAACTATTATACTAGGTCAAACTTCTTCATTTTTTTTTGTTTTGTTTAGGCATCCTTTTCATTGGCTTTCTACTTTTTCTTTTGACTATTTGCTGGATTTTATATAATTTATTGAAGAGTGATTCTCCCTCATCCTCTGCAAACATTCCATAGGCGATAGGAAGAACTATGCCTCTGCCAAACTTTCTGAGTTCCTACCAGAAGAAGTTGAAGCAGAAGTGAAAGCAGCTGCGGAGATATCAATGGGAACAGAGGTTTCAGAAGAAGATATTTGCAATATTCTGCATCTTTGCACCCAGGTAAATTTTACTCCTGAAGAATCTAGATGTACTACCAGCTTTATAATAATTTTTCTGATGGCAATGATGATTTTTGCACTTGTTGACCTGATAACGTAAATATGAAGGTGTTCAGTCACTACCTCATCTGATGCCATCATGATTTGTATACTTAAAAGAGGAAGTACATACTAAAAGGAAGTAATTTATAATCATCATCTGAATAATTAACCAAAAATCCATTAAGATGGCAGAGAAGTATTGCTTAGAATCTTTTATGACTAAGATTTTCGGGCAGTGTACCAAGTGGTTTATTTATATTATATAACAAAGTCCTTAAAACAGCCATTTTATAGAAAACTGTTGTTAGGCATAGTTGATGTAGCCAGGGTTGTGTAGCTGCTCTTTCATATTGAGGGCTCCAGTGTTTTAGGCAGGAATTTTATACTGTTTTTACTGATATTTGTGACTTAATTTATTCCTTATACTAGGTGATTGAAATCTCTGAATATCGAACCCAGCTCTATGAATATCTACAAAATCGAATGATGGCCATTGCGCCCAACGTTACAGTCATGGTTGGGGAATTAGTTGGAGCACGGCTTATCGCTCATGCAGGTGATGGTTTTAATGTTATTTGTAAACATGAGTGTTTGAAGTATTCACTGGTTAGGATTTTGTTTACATCTTTAAACCACAGCTATTAAAAGAAATTCTAAGTAATAACACAAAAGTAGATGGTATGTAGGAGATGAATAAGGGCCATATATAGGAGATGAATAAGGGCCAAGTGTTCAATGATGATTTTTGTTTGTTTGCCTGATTTCCTTTTGGATAATGAAGGCATCTTTAGTCACTACCTCTTCTGAGACACTTGGGGTTCATTGTTAGAATTTTGTTAAGGTTAATTAGAATAATCAGATGAATGTAGGAGGATAAAACAGTTAACATTTTCATAATAAACTCATTAGACATAGATTTAAATATAGTTTTAAGAAATCACTGTAGAGGATATATACCCTTGATTGATTATCTTAGTTTCACTATTGAGTGTGTGGTTGTAACTGATACATGATTTTCAAAAATATTTTCAGCAACCGATTTATAATAGAGCTTTGTATACATGCATGACAATATTATAAAGATGATAGGCTATAATTAAAATGCTATCAGTTTTTAAAATGGCATAACTCCTTTTTTGGTTTTGGGTTTTTTTGACACAGAGTTTTACTCTGTTGCACTGGCTGGAGTGCCGTGGCACAGTCTCTGCTCACTGCAACCTCTGCCTCCTGGGTTCAAGCGATTTTTCTGCCTCGGCCTCCCAAGTTGCTGGGGTTACAGGTGCCCACCACCTCACCTGGCTAATTTTTGTATTTTTAGTTGAGATATGGTTTCACTGTGCTGGCCAGGCTGGTCTCAAACTCCTGACCACAGGTGATCTACCCGCCTCAGCCTTGCAAAGTGCTGGGATTACAGGCAGGAGCCACTGCGTGTGCAGTCTGGCATAATTTCTTTAGCTGCATCATTGATCAGAGGTTTCATTCAGTGCCTACAGCTGTAAGATCAGATGATTTCATTGTCTTCACCTGTTTTCATGCATACAGCTAAAGTTGTAGCAGTAATCGATGGCAGGAGTTAACAGAAGTATGTATTTGTTGGCTGGGCACGGTGGCTCACACCTGTAATCCCAGCACTTTGGGAGGCCGAGGTGGGTGGATCACCTGAGGTTGGGAATTTGAGACAAGCCTGGCCAACATGGTGAAACCCTGTCTCTACTAATAGCACAAAAATTAGCCGACCATGGTGGTATTCACTTGTGATCTCAACTACTGGAGGCTGAGGCAGGAGAATCTCTTGAACTCAGGAGGCGGAGGTTGTACTGAGCCAAAATTGTGCCATTGCACTCGAGTCTGGGTGACAAGAGCATCTCAAAAAAAGAAGTATGTATTTGTTGCACTTTAAAAAATATGTCTCATGGTAAAGTTCGTAGCATTAATGGTGAGTGTGCTTTCTGACAGGAAATATTCTATACAACATATATAGCTAAGCAGCATGTTGATAACTTACTAGTATAATAGTCCTCAGCTATCCATGAGGATATATTCTGAGCTCCCCACCCCAACCCGTGAATGTTTGAAACAGGATAAGTAGTGAACTCTATGCTGTATATGCTGTTTTTTCCTAAACACACATACCTATGATAAAGTTTAATTTATAAGTTAGGTACAGTAGGACATCAACAACAGTAATAATAAAACAATTATGACAATATCCCAGTGTCGCTATTTTTCTGCATTGGTTACTTCAATATAAGCACTGCAATACTGCACCGTGGAGAGGGCCATGAAAGTGACTAGTGGGTAGATAAGGATAATTCATGTTCTCATGGGGACTGAGTGCGGTGGCAAGAGATTTGAAACTTTGGAGCTGTTTATTTCTGGAATTTCCTTTTTAATATTTTCAGACTGCAGTTGACCACAGGTAATTGAAACCACAGAAAGTGAAACCACAGATAGGGAACTATTAATAACCTTCTAAGAATATATTTTCCTAATCCACAGCTGAATCAACAGGAGTAAATAAGTTGTGAATTTATTATATGGTTATGGTACCGAGAGGTCCTAATAAATGTGTTTATTTGTAGGCTTTTTCATATCTAAAGCAATATAATACTTGATAAAATCTCAGAAAGCAGGGGCCAGATTAGTGTTCTTGTGTGTGACATATTTGTGTTACTCCTGTAGTATACTAATGGAATATAGAATAGTACTACCATCTCTGGGGTGAATAGAAACATTGAATTAAAAAGCTTAACCTTCAGTTTGCCCTAAGCATTCATTACAAACCTGCTTGTGCTGATGAAGGAATTACAAACGAAACATCAGGCTTTTTAGGGAATTCTGGCTTAAAGAATTCTATATTATATGTGATTTTTATTTTATTATGGTGGGTATAATAATTCTATAGGTCTTTTGTTTTAGTACATGGAACATGCAGATGTTTGGAAGTACATTCTTTGTAACTTTCTTCTTTTATAGGTTCTCTTTTGAATTTGGCCAAGCATGCAGCTTCTACAGTTCAAATTCTTGGAGCAGAAAAGGCACTTTTCAGAGCCCTCAAATCTAGACGGGATACCCCTAAGTATGGTCTCATTTATCATGCTTCACTCGTCGGCCAGACAAGTCCCAAGCATAAAGGAAAGGTGTGTTAACTTGGGTTGGTTGGTTGGTTTGTTTGTTTGTTTGTTTGTTTTTGAGGTTGGACTTTTTAATCATATAACCACTTTTCTTCTCTATAGTGCATATTAAATCTTTGTATTGTCCTTTCTTGTTAAATAGAGAAAGGTGAGTTATGTAAGAAGCATTTTGTGGCCAGGTACGGTGGCTCACGCTTCTTGTAATACCAACACTTAGGGAGGCCGAGGCGGATGGGTCACCTGAGGTTGGGAGTTTGAGACCAGCCTGACCAACATGGAGAAAACCCCATCTCTACTAAAAATACAGAAATTGGCCGGGCGCGGTGGCTCAAGCCTGTAATCCCAGCACTTTGGGAGGCCGAGGCGGGTGGATCACAAAGTCAAGAGATCGAGACCATCCTGGTCAACATGGTGAAACCCCGTCTCTACTAAAAATACAAAAAAATCAGCTGGGCATGGTGGCGCGTGCCCGTAATCCCAGCTACTCAGGAGACTGAGGCAGGAGAATTGCCTGAACCCAGGAGGCGGAGGTTGCGGTGAGCCGAGATCGCGCCATTGCACTCCAGCTTGGGTAACAAGAGCGAAACTCTGTCTCAAAAAAAAAAAAAAAAATACAGAAATTATCCAGGCATGGTTGTGGACGCCTATAGTCCCAGCTCCTCGGGAGGCTGAGGCAGGTCACTTGAGATGAGGAATTGGGCCAGCCTGACCAACAGCCAAAGCCTGGGATTACAAGCACGTGCCACCACGCTCAACTGCTTTTTCTATTTTTAGTAGAGTTGGGGTTTCACCATGTTCACCAGCTCCTGACTTCATAGTCCACCTTCTTGGCCTCCCGAAGTGCTGGGATTACAGGTGTGAGCCACTGTGCCTGGCCTAAATTTGTAATAGCCTTATGAGATTTACGTATTTCCATTTTACTAATGGTGAAATTGAGGCTTAGACAAGTTAAGTATTTTCAATCTTTTTTTTTTTTTTTTTTTTTTTTTTTTGAGATGGAGTTTCGCTCTTGTTACCCAGGCTGGAGTGCAATGGCGCGATCTCGGCTCACCGCAACCTCCGCCTCCTGGGCTCAGGCAATTCTCCTGCCTCAGCCTCCTAAGTAGCTGGGATTACAGGCACGCTGCCACCACGCCCAGCTAGTTTTTTGTATTTTTAGTAGAGACGGGGTTTCACCATGTTGACCAGGATGGTCTCGATCTCTCGACCTCGTGATCCACCCGCCTCGGCCTCCCAAAGTGCTGGGATTACAGGCTTGAGCCACTGCTCCCGGCCACCTTCAATCTTTTTGAATGATGTGTAGTTTAAAAGAACTAAACTGAAATTTGATAAAATCTAGAGTAGAGTGGTAGAGGTAATAAAGGGTTCAATAAAATAAACTTTAAAAAAAGAACCCACACATATTTAAGATTATTATGGGTTAAAGATGCACTTGTTCTGAATGATCTGAAGGCACAGAACTAATGTCACTAAGTAGAAACTAAAGTTTAAAAATGTTTTTAAAAAAAAAAAAGGCATAGTGGCACATGACTGTAATCACAGCTCTTTGGGAGGTCAGGGCAGGTGGATCACAAGGACAGGAGTTTGAGACCAGCCTGGACATCATGGTGAAACTCCATCTGTATTAAAAATACAAAAATCAGCCAGGCATGGTGGCACGTGCCTGTAATCCCGGCTACTCAGGAGGCTGAGGCAGGGAAAATGCTTGAACTGGGGAAGCCGAGGTCACAGTGAGCTAAGATCATGCCATTACACTCCAGCCTGGGTGACAGAGCAAGACTTAGTCTCAAAAAAAAAAAAAAAAAAATTAAAAAAAGTTTGAGCTATTATTTTACATGAATTGCTATAAAATCTTTTCAACCACGGAAGTGTTGTTGCTGATATATGGCCATTAGGTTGTGGCAAAGGTTGAAATATGATGGGTGATTTGAATTGTACGATTCATAATACTTTTATAACTCCTTGTTTTAAAACATTCTAGAATAAATGACAATGTGATTTGCTGAAACTGTCTCATGAGTAAGTAAGTTGTTGAGGACTTTACATCTGAACATGGAATGTGAGTTCTTCATGGTTTTTCTATTAGATTTCTCGAATGCTGGCAGCCAAAACTGTTTTGGCTATCCGTTATGATGCTTTCGGTGAGGATTCCAGTTCCGCGATGGGAGTTGAGAACAGAGCCAAATTAGAGGCCAGGTTGAGAACTTTGGAAGATAGAGGGGTAAGAATCACATTATCCATATTGCAGAAGTATTACCTGTCAGAAGTTAATATTAGTAGATTTATGGAATTCATCTGCTAAACAGTTTTATGATACATGTTAGTATGTCTAAAGTATTCTTATTGTGCCTACTGTTAACAGTTGCTTTTATTTACCAAGAATTGTTGTATGAAACAGCGTTTGCCACTAGGATGTGCCATTTAAAATAAAACAAAAAATAGCAGAAGTTGCAGTTTGCTGGCCCACTGATTCACTAGACTGTATAGTATATTAAGAGATTATGGCTTAGAATTGTATTTGTAATTTTTCTTTTTCTTCTTAGATAAGAAAAATAAGTGGAACAGGAAAGGCATTAGCAAAGACAGAAAAATATGAACACAAAAGGTGAGTACATACGAATTTCACCTTGATGTTCCCCTAGGTTTTTCAAATTTATTTGACAAAAATTATGTATATTTATTGTGAACATGCCACTTGTGGAAAACATGCACATTGAGGAATGATTAAATCAAGCACGTTGACATGCATTGTCTTACTTTTTTTGTAGTGAGGATAACTTAAAATCTACTTAGCAATTTTCAACAATATAACACGTTGTTAACTCTAGTTACCATGTTGTACACACCCTTTTTTCTTGCCATTTAGTTTTCCATATTCACTTCTAGTTTTCATTGATAGTAAATTTTTAAATCTAAAGTTCCTCTATAATATATTCTTTATCAAAAAGTTCATTCAGAGTTAATCCCTAAAGAAACCTATTTTGTAAAAGGTATAAAGATGGAAAACATGTCTAAAAATGTCTGAGGCATGATACAATATTCAAACTTAACTGTCAAATTAACGAAATATTTGTATGTGGGGGGTATTTGGGTTATTTATTTGAGGTAATGCTCAATGCTGGTGAGGTTGTGATGATGGAAGTAAAATGGTATTATGTATGTATCAAGATTCTTCAAAATGTTCCTAGTCATTAGCCCAATAAATTATACTTTCAGGACTCATAATCCTTCAAAAATGTTAATAGTAAAATCTTATGCTACTAGTGGATGAAGAGGGTAATATATAGTAACATTACCATTTATAAACACATATTTAAATATAATTACTTTCCTATTTTCTGGAAAGAAACCAAATGTGTTTCTGTAGGCATTCACATTTTCTTTTTTTTCTGAATTTTCCAGGCTTTCTGCAATGGCCTTATATACTACAATATTTACAGTCTGTAATTTATTGTCTTTAGTTGACAAACATGGGGGGTTTTTTGTTTTTGTTTTGGAGGAGATGGAGTCTCACTCTGTTGCCCAGGCTGCAGTGTAATGGTGCAATCTTGGCTCACCGCAACCTCTGCCTCCTGGGTTCAAGTGATTATCCTGCCTTAGCCTCCCGAGTAGTTGAGACGATAGGTGTGTGCCACCACGTCCAGCTAACGTTTTGTATTTTTAGTAGAAAGGGTTTCTTTTTTTTTTTTTTCCTTCGTCACAATTAACCAGAACACAAGTAGAAGTAGAAACAGTTTCATTATGTTAGCCAGGATGGTCTTGATCTCCTGACCTCATGATCCACCCACCTCAGCCTCTCAAAGTGCTGGGATTACAGATGTGAGCCACCATGCTGGCCTTGTTTCTTAAACTATGAATGTCTTTAACCTATAAAAATTAAAATCATACAGTTTACAAGTCTACTTAAGAAACAGAACATTTTGTAGCTTGTTTTGAACAAATTTTTACAATGTTCCTATGCCATTAATGCTTTTTACTTTAAACATGCATTTGAAGCATCAGTTCACATTTTAGGCACTCATTTCAGTATTTTCTTTCTGCTTACGTTAGAACAAAAGCAAATGTTGGGTTCTCAGAAATCTTTTCCATGTGTATGTATCTGTATTCTTTCTTCTCTTGTGATCTTACAATGAAGACTTCTATACTAAGCTTGGTTTAGATTTTTTGTTCTGCCTTTTTTCATTTAATTGTGTAGTGTTCTGAAAGTTGGATTGGTTCAGTTTTCACTTTCTAGTTAGTTGTGAAGACATTTTCTCCTTTCGTTTCCCCCATGCTGATTGAGTGTTTTCCTGTACCATAGTAACTACATTGATTACTAAATCAGAATTCATTTAGCTCACCACTTCTCTTGAATGTGATTGACCTACTTGAAAAATACTAATACCTTTACCTTTTGGAAACTATTAGTCTTCATATACTACCCCAAAGCCACTAAAATGAAACAACATTGTGTGCTTATGTAAGTATTATCTAATGGCATTTTCTTTATCTCTTGAGAATTATTTCAGTTACAGATACTTGTAGAGATTTTCTAAAACTTTTTGGGTCTTTCAGTGAAGTGAAGACTTACGATCCTTCTGGTGACTCCACACTTCCAACCTGTTCTAAAAAACGCAAAATAGAACAGGTAGATAAAGAGGATGATATTACTGAAAAGAAAGCAAAGAAAGCCAAGATTAAAGTTAAAGGTTAGTTTGAATTTTAACACAATATATACTCATTTCTTAAGAACTATGGACTTAGTGAGTCTTAGAAGTACATACCATTGCACTTTATTATAAAACTACTTGTTGAATGCTAATGGTATTTAATAATGCCATTATGTTCTCTGGGAATAGTTAGGGTATTGTTAAATTTACCAGACTTTACAGGGGAAATGTGAGAAGTGTAGTCAACTTAATGTATTTTACTAAGACTACCAGTACTTCAGTTTCTACTACATGAACTGTTTTGAGAATTAAGAGAAAAAAACGAATGTGTTTCCTAAATTGGTTGTTGAAAATTTTTTGTTTTATATAAAGTTAAGAATGAATATAGAATTGATGGAACAGTGGTTTTCGTCATTGTTTTTGTTATATGGAGCAGACTAGAAGGAATACATACTGGTAGCCTGCTGTCATAGTATCTAATAGGTACTCACTAGTTAACTAGGCTGTCTTGTGAAGTTGATAAGCACATGCCCCATTAAAAGCCGAATCTGTGGGGTTTTTTTCTTTGTTTTTAATTTTTCATCTGTCCCTTCTCATAACCAAGAAAGACGAACCTGTGTTTATTAAACACATACTAGCAAGTCTTGCAGAAGAGTAAATTATTATTATTATTATTATTATATTTATTTATTTATTTATTTATTTATTTATTTATTTTTTGAGACGGAGTTTTGCTGTTGTTACCCAGGCTGGAGTGCAATGGCGCTATCTCGGCTCACCGCAACCTCCGCCTCCTGGGTTCAGGCAATTCTCCTGCCTCAGCCTCCTGAGTAGCTGGGATTACAGGCACGCGCCACCATGCCCAGCTAATTTTTTGTATTTTTAGTAGAGACAGGGTTTCACTATGTTGACCAGGATCTCTTGACCTCGTGATCCACCCACCTCGGCCTCCCAAAGTGCTGGGATTACAGGCTTGAGCCACTGCGCCCGGCCCTGAAGAGTAAATTATTAACAGAATGATTGCTTTAACTTAGTTTCTAAAAAGCTTAGTGGTCAAAAGTGTTTGATCTGCAAATGTGGATAGTATACTTGATAGAGAAAACAATATATTTAGCTTTTATGCTTCTTTTTATTGAAAAGTAAGGAGATTCCTAAACCCATTAGTAGTAGCATTTGAGGCACCAAACTCTGTCTTTGTAGCCTCAATTGTGTATCTAATAAGCTTTTCCAATTTATCTGTCAATTTTCCACTCCACATCCCCTCCCCTCCTTTTTTTTTTTGTTGTTGTTGTTTGTTTGTTTTGAGGCATAATTTCCTCTGTTGACAGGCTGGAGTGCAGGAACATGATCTTGGCTCACTGCAACCTTCACCTCCTGGGTTCAAGTGATTCTCCTGCCTCAGCCTCCCAAGTAGCTGGGATTACAGGCACACACCACCATGCCTATTTGTGTTTTTAGAAGAGATGAGGTTTCACCATGTTGGCAAGGCTGGTCTCGAACTCTTTTTTTTTTTTTTTTTTTTTTGAGATGGAGTTTCACTCTTGTTACCCAGGCTGGAGTGCAATGGCACGATCTCGGCTCACCGCAACCTCCGCCTCCTGGGTTCAAGCAATTCTCCTGCCTCAGCCTCCTGAGTACTGGGATTACAGGCACGCCCCACCATGCCCAGCTAATTTTTTGTATTTTTAGTAGAGACGGGGTTTCACTATGTTGACCGGGATGATCTCGATCTCTTGACCTCATGATCCACCCGCCTCGGCCTTCCAAAGTGCTGGGATTACAGGCTTGAGCCACCGCGCCCGGCCTTTTTTTTTTGTATTTTTAAGTAGAGGTAGGATTTCACCATGTTTCCCAGGCTGGTCTCAAACTCCTGACCTCAAATGATCCTCCTGAAGTGCTGAGATTACAGGTGTGAGCCACTGCACCCACCTAGTAACTGAATTTCTTTTTTCTTCTTTCCTTTTCTTTTATTTTTTTGGAGACGGAGTCTTACTCTATCACCCAGGTTGAAGTGCAGTGGTGCCACCTCAGCTCACTGCAACCTCTGCCTCCCAGGTTCAGGCAATTCTCTTACCTCACCCTCCCAGGAAGCTGGGATTACAAGTGTGAGCCACCGTGGCTGGCTGGTCATGAATTTCCAAAGATAGCTATGTGTTGAGTCCTTATTGTAATGTGTGCTAAGCATTATACTTAGTATTTTGTGTGCATCATCTCTTTAAATCTCAGTAACAATCTAATGAGATAAGACATTCTTAAATTTGATAGGTGAGGCTATAGAGTTTTACCAGGGGTAAATAAAATTATTCAGGGCTGCAGCAGGTAGAATAAACGCAGGCCACCTTCAGAGTGCGAGCTCTTATATTTCTTTTTTTTTTTTTTTTTTTGAGACGGAGTTTCTCTCTTGTTACCCAGGCTGGAGTGCAATGGCGCTATCTCGGCTCACCTCAACCTCCGCCTCCTGGGTTCAGGCAATTCTCCTGCCTCAGCCTCCTGAGTAGCTCGGATTACAGGCACGTGCCACCATGCCCAGCTAATTTTTTGTATTTTTTAGTAGAGACAGGGTTTCACCATGTTGACCAGGATGGTCTCAATCTCTTGACCTCGTGATCCGCCCGCCTCAGCCTCCCAAAGTGCTGGGATTACAGGCTTGAGCCACCGCGCCCAGCTAGCTCTTATATTTCTAATATAATTGACTCTCCTTTCAAAAATGATAGGGGGTCAGATGACCTTTGTTTTAATCCCAGTTTTTATACAAGACTTCATGGTTGTGAGAAAATTGCTCTGAGGTCTGTCTATATCATTTGCTAACGTTAGTGGTAGGAGGACCTTCCCAATTATAATATAAACAATATAAAAAAAAATAAAAAATTATAATATAAACAATATAAACATTGGATAGTTGATGAGAATGACAGGCCAAAAAAAAAAAAAAAAACAAAAACAAACCTAGGACTCAAACGTTTTTGGAAGGAGATCTGATACAGTGTTAATTTGTTATGCCTTTACATTTACCCTATTCAGTTGAAGAAGAGGAAGAAGAAGAAGAAGAAGAAGTGGTAGAAGAAGAAGAAACATCTGTGAAGAAGAAGAAGAAAAAGGGTAAAAAGAAACACATTAAGGAAGAACCACTTTCTGAGGAAGAACCATGTACCAGCACAACAATTCCTGTATGTTTGTTTATAATTATCAGTACTCTCTTGGCATGGGGAGGTTCTCCATATTTTACTATCCCAGAAATGAGCAGGCATTTTAAAAAATGGTTTTCATCGATGGGCAGGTAAAAGTGAAATGGCTTTGTTGTATTTGTATAATAAAAGGCCATTTCCCAAATCTAGAATTTATTACCAAAAATTGAGTTTGCATTGAGGGGAAAAGATTTGCTGAAGCTTACTTTTATAGGCAAGGTTTTTATATCTTGCGTTTTAATCTTTTCCCTGAATTTGTTTTCAAGGGAAACAGATTGATTTTGCATTTTATAAAGAAAAGTAATTACCCATACAATTACAGCTCTTTGAAAGCGTTCTTGTTGGCTATTTTCAGAGTCCAGAGAAAAAGAAGAAAAAGAAAAAAAAGAGAGATAATGAGGACTAACAAAGGAATTACAGTTATATCACCTGGACGCATCATGCTTAAGATTCCATTGGGAGCATACCAAGGATGCTCTCTAACATAATCAAGGGAAGGTTCAGTGAAACAGTGATTTATCATCTGTAACTTCAAACCTATTTGTGTCTTGACATCAACTCTGTTAACCTTATGTCATCATTTCTTAGAGTCTTTGATAATACAAATAAAATTTTCTTTGTATTTTAAGACAATTTTGTGATCTCTTTATATCTTGGATAGAAAATTTTTGGCTCTTTCTATAGTTTGACATGTGATGATTATATTGTTTTGATAAATAAAACTGAAAAGTTAGAGTTGTGAATGGATAATTTGAAACTTAAATCTTTTGGAAGGCAGTGACTAAGTGGACTAATTCAAGAACCCCAGTCTAATGTGGTTTTTTTTTTTTTTTCCTTTTTGAATTACTTTATTTTCTACCTTTTTCTGCCTATTTATTTAAATAAAGATTTGTTTCTTACTCAAATTTTAATATTAGGTGAGCAAAATTTCTTATCTGTTCAGAAGGCTGGGGGGACAGTATCCCTACCTTTATTTACTTGTTTGCCATTCTAAAAGGCACACCAAAATGTTTCTTTTTCTTTTTCTTTCTTTCTTTTTTTTTTTTTTTTTTTTTTTTTGACAGAGTTTCACTCTTGCCCAGGCTGGAGTGCAATGGCACAATCTGGGCTCACTGCACCCTCCACCTCCTGGGTTCAAGCAATTCTCCTGCCTCAGGCTCCCAAGTATCTGAGATTACAGGTGCCTACTACCATAGCCAGCTAATTTTTGTATTTTTAGTAGAGACAGCATTTTACCATGTGTCCAGGCTGGTTTCAAACTCCTGACTACAAGCGTGAGCCATCATGCCCAGCCCAAAATAATTCTTAAGACCCTGATTTGTTTAGTCAACCTGAAGTGACATTTTAAAAGGTTGTACAAAATGATAGGAAAATAACGAAAAAAACAAAAGTGTCAGTGGGAGTGACATATAAAGCAGGACAATAGAATACCAAAGAAATCTTATTTCTGAGTGATCGTGTTTAGTATACACACAGGAAGCCTGGTAGACCACCTTAGTGTCATATGACAGTCATGAGTTTCATAGCACTGTTGTGTTTTGCCAGTTTGTATATGTTATACACATCATACTAAAGACCAATTCAGTAAAAGCTGTTGGTAGATGAAAACTAGAATGACTGGCTTTTGAGTTCCACCTCTGCTTTTTTTTTTGAGACGCGGTCTCATGCTGTCGTTCAGGCTGGAATGCACTGATGCAATCTTGGTTCACTGCAACTGCTGCCTCCTGGGTTCAAGCAATTCTCCTGCCTCAGCCTCCCAAGTAGCTGGGATTACAGGCAGCCACCACCATACCCGACTAATTTTTTGAATTTTTAGTAGAGCAGGGAGGGTTTCACTGTGTTGGCCAGGCTGGTCTCAAACTCCTGATCTCATGATCGGCCTGCCTCAGCCTCCCGAAGTGCTGAGATTATAGGCATGAGCCACCACGCCTGGCCCCACCTCTGCTTTTGAAGGCGACAGCCTCTCTGTGGTTTCCTTATTTGTAAATCACAGATGATGGTCAATTTTACCCCTCCTAATTCATTTGTAGAAAATGAAATGACACACTTTCAGAGATGTTACTAGGTTTCAAATTTAGTTAATTTACTTGAAGTCAGTGTTGCTAAAATATATGCAGCCATCCCTAGACAAAGTTAAGTAATAAAGCTGGTTATCTTGTTCCCAGGAGAACATTGTTATTTTGTATCACCCATTTGTACCACAGATTCCTAATTTGGGACAAAACAGACTTTAGTTTATGATCAACTTGATGAAAATGGCCTATCCACCTACTGTGAGCTATGTAGTTGAAGGTTAACAGGTTTTTGAGAAACCTAAATAATAAACTTAAATAGTCTGCAGACTTGTAGAAAGCATAGTTGAATCACACAGCAGTCAGCTCTCATAAAGGCTGAAGGCTTAATTATTTAAAACACTAACCAAAAGGTATGTTTTAGTTCTACTTTGTACTATTGAAGCATTTGTCCTAATGAAAAGCCTTGTGAACTTAGTTTGAAATTGGAAATTCAGGTCAATTTTATATGCCTAGTTTTGATTAGTAAATTTTAAGAATTTCTGTGGCTACCCGGGCGCGGTGGCTCAAGCCTGTAATTCCAGCACTTTGGGAGGCCGAGGTGGTTGGATCACGAGGTCAAGAGATCGAGACCATCCTGGTCAACATGGTGAAACCCCGTCCCTACTAAAAATACAAAAAAGTAGCTGGGCATGGTGGCGCGTGCCTGTAATCCCAGCTACTCAGGAGGCTGAGGCAGGAGAATTGCCTGAACCCAGGGGGTGGAGGTTGCGGTGAGCCGAGATTGCGCCATTGCACTCCAGTCTGGGTAACGAGCGAAACTCCGTCTCAAAAAAAAAGAAAAAAATAAGAATTTCTGTGGCTATGCCACAAAAAATCTCTGCAGAAAACCTACTGATTTTCCACTTCCCTTGAAAAATGTAATTGTCCCTTTTCTGGTTTAAACTCCTGTATCTGTTCATTGCCTTCTGGTTCCTCAGCACACTTCACAAGGCACTTGAGTGAGCTGTCCTCTCCAACTTCAGAACATTATCTGCAGCACTCTGTCTCAGGGCTCTTTTAGAAAGGATTTATTTGCTGCCCGTGAAGCATTCTGATTCATCCGTTGCTTCTCTATGGTCATTTTCAGACTTGGTTCAGGCTCATCCTTTATCCCAGCTAGGGCCAAATGTCTCAAACCCTAACTAATATACATAGGAATTATCTAGAGACCTTGCTTGATAAAGAGCAAATCTGATGCTCTATTAGTGCCGCCAGAGCCAAAAAAAAAAAAAAAATAGATCTCAGGTCTGGGTTGGAGCCCAGAATTTCCTTATTTTATGCAAACTCAGGTGGTGCTAGATGAGGGTCTGTGTGTATGGTAGCAAAGTACTAGGGTAAATTATTTAAACTCTCAGAACCTGGTTGCCTATCTGAAATTGGATTTCTCTGAGAATTACATGAGATAATGCTTGTGAAGAGGTTTATGTGGTAAAGTCAAGATTAACCCCTAGTTACTTGAGGCTGAAACAGGAGGATTGCTTGAGTCCAGGAGGTTTATGCTACAGTGAGCCATGGTTGCATCACAGCACTCCAGACTGGGTGACAGCAAGACCCTGTCTCTTAAAAAAGAAGTGCAGTTGACTTTTGAACAATAAGGGGCTGGGGAACTGACCCCTTGTGCAGTTGCAATTTTGCATATGACTTAGGACTCCCCCAAAACTTAATAGCCCAGTGTTGACCAAAAGCCTTACCAAAAATAGTCATGATACATTGTTATATGTATTATTCACTGTATTCTTATAACAAGCTAGAGAAAAAAATTGAAAAAATACTGTTTTTTTTTTTTTTTTGAGACGGAGTTTTCGCTCTTGTTACCCAGGCTGGAGTGCAATGGCACCATCTCGGCTCACCGCAACCTCTGCCTCCTGGGTTCAGGCAATTCTCCTGCCTCAGCCTCCTGAGTAGCTGGGATTATAGGCACGCGCCACCATGCCCAGCTAATTTTTTGTATTTTTAGTAGAGACGGGGTTTCACCATGTTGACCAGGTTGGTCTCGATCTCTCGACCTTGTGATCCACCCGCCTCGGCCTCCCAAAGTGCTAGGATTACAGGCTTGAGCCACCGCACCCGGCTACAAGAATTTGCTTTTGAAGGGACGAATTTAATTGCTGATACTGCAAGTGTTCTATGTATATTTAGTGTTACATAAAAGGGAAAAATCTTAATGATTGTTTTTTTCTTTTTTTGAGACAGAGTTTTGCTCTCTTTGCCCAGGCTGGAGTGCAATGGGATGATCTCAGCTCGCCGCAGTCTTCACCTCTGGGTTCAGGTGATTCTCCTGCCTCAGCCTCCGAGTAGCTAGGATTACAAGCATGTGCTGCCACGCCCGACCACTTTGGCTGAAATTTTAAGGAGTCTGATATGACTAGTTGAAAGAAAATTATCAATTTAGCATTATTAATTTTTATTTATACTAGACTCACCATAGTTTCATATACAAGTGTCTTCTATTTAGTATATTTGAGTATTTCCAGATTTTTTTTTTTTGTAGACTACAGTGAATGCCTTTGTACATTATTTTCATGTATTTGCTTTTCCATAGGATAAGTAGAATTACTATGTCAAAGGGGATATAGTGTAAAATAATGTCAGTTTGCCTCCCAAAGAATGCTGTAATTTACACTACCAACAAATAGCATTACGAGAAAGCGCCTATGTGAGGAACTGTCTCATTAACTTGAACTAAGTGGCTTTAAACCTGGGTAATTTTCCTCTCATAATTCTGTGGTCCAAGATGAATGAAAAGGTTCCTTTTATCAGTACAACATTGAAATCATCTTCAGGATTATACACTCCCACCTGTCCTTGTGCTGCTAACCCAAAGGGTATGGTGGTATGGTGTGAGCCACCACGCCCAGCCTTGGAACATTTTAGTAGCCTGAAAATACTGGAATCTTATCATTTGAAAAAATGACTAATTTGAATCTAGCAATGAGTTGTGCCTGCTACCCCTGTGGAGACAGGTTGGAATAGCAGCTTACTGGAGGTTTCTCACAAAGCCTGGTTACCCAAGGCTGGTATATGCTACTTTGGTTTAAACCAAACCCTGGCAAGCCACCAAGCAATAGCTTTGGAAGTGGCTGCCTGGAAATTCCTGGCCTACCGTGCTGAGAGGACCGCTACTACTCAACTGGTCAAGACGTCCATCTGCATACCAACTCCTATGCCATAGCAGCAAATGCAGCCTTCGAAGTTTGAAGATAAACTATAATTAGTATAGCTGTGAATGCATCCTGTATAAAAGTAACCAAAGGTGCCGGGCGTGGTGGCTCAAGCCTGTAATCCCAGTACTTTGGGAGGCCGAGGCGGTTGGATCACAAGGTCAAGAGATAAAGACCATCCTGGTCAACAGGGTGAAACCCCGTCTCTACTAAAAATACAAAAAGTTAGCTGGGCATGGTGCTGCGTGCCTGTAATCCCAGCTACTCAGGAGGCTGAGACAGGAGAATTGACTGAACCCAGGAGGCGGAGGTTGCGGTGAGCCGAGATCGTGCCATTGCACTCCAGCCCGGGTAACAAGAGCAAAAACGCCGTCTCAAAAAAAAAAAAAAAAAGTAACCAAAGGTGACCAAAC